AGATACAGAAGCAAGGATACGTATGTAGCAAAGAGCATTAGCTTGTAGCTTGTTAGTTAATATTTTATAGAAAACTTCTTCGAAAGCTGGATGCAGAAGTCGGTATTAATTAAATCAACTTGATGCCTGGAATTTGCCTCAGTGAGCGGTACAAATTTGTGCCATTTTTGAATCGTTTTCCTTCAAATCACATCACACTACATGCTGATTATCGCTGACATAAGATAATTCCGCAAATATGGACGTTCATTTTTGTAAATGAAGATAAAATTAAAATTGATTCATATTACAAGTTCTTTTACTTTCGATTTTGAAAGGAATATACCGCTTAGAATCAATACCATAAGTGGACGAACCAACACAATGAAACAAGTTGAAGAAAGTTGAGAAAAAAAATATTTATATTAAATAGAAAAGTTTGAATAATAATATGATGTATTCAAAAGTTTTTTAAAAACTCTATGGTTTGCAAATAAATCACTGTCGCTTATTAATGATAAGTCCCATACCTACGCAATTTATCTCTCTGTAAGCTTTTACTGCATTTAATTATTATTACCATTATTACTATAAAGTTTATCTTTTGAATAAAAAGGGCGATAACCATTATCGTCTAGTGCCCGGTGGCTGTATGCTTTTTATTTTATTTTATCATTATTTACACAAAATATATTGGACAAATATTAGGCGAATATAAACCCAAGGCCGTCGCGTACCTTACTACACCACTAAGGCAGCGCTTTTTAAAATAAACGCGAACGATGTTCTACGTCTGTCATGAACTTAAATGTTTAATTTGAAAATGACCAACAAATGACACCTTTCGAAGATTGTTTTTGTCTATTTTTCGCAGTTTTGTTCCACATTTCTTATTGCACAATGTGCTACAGCAAGGCGGGGCAGGGTACAGCTACTTTTATCGTAGACTAGCTGGTGCCCGCGACTTCGTTCGAGTGGAATTTAAAAAGCGCCACCTTAGTGTGAGCAAGAGAAACTATTTGTATACTACTTCATAGACATTTTATGATATTTGCTTACCAAGTTTAAAAGTAAAACATCATAATTGTTGTGTTAAATGCGTCACTTACGCCTTTTTTCTTCCCTAACTTATACGCTAAATTCCTGTCTTAACTTCTACACGAATATTTACTTAAAATACTTAAACAATTGAAAGTCTCAAATCTTTTCTAAGCCCTCTAATCCATTCTAAATCTATACTAACTTTTAAACTTTCGCGTTCCATGATAATTAATATTATTTAACGGGAATTAACGCGATCGTCAGCGCGCGACAGTCAGCCTGTGACCACGGCCGGTGCAACCTGGTCGAAACGTCTGGCAAACCAGAGGTATGTAATACCCTAAATAAGAGATCGCGTTAATTCCCGTTAAATAATATTAATTATCATTCTAAATCTACTCAATATTCCAAGAGTAGTTCACGATTAAGTGTCTTCGTAAGAACTTCCACTTGATTTATGTTCATAGTTCCAAGATATTTAAATTTAGAACATTTCTGAAATGCATAAAGTCTATCCTGCCAGTTATTTATGATACGATAGAAATCGACTATTTACTCGTACTGCAATTTTTTTTTATCGGATGTGACGAATGTGTCTACTAAAGAACATCGGTCAGTTTGAAATTCTTCTATTATAATCTTTTTTGTTGGTTCGACGGATGGGAACGATTTTGTCTAAGTTTCTTTTGTGACCGGCCTGACGCCAACTCTTGGGAATGTAGTCGCATTGGGGCGATGCAATAGAAAAAGGTTTTTGGGGTAAGGGAAACGCATAGGTCGCTGTTTTTTTGGGTAAGGGACCGCAACTCTCGGATGGGGGAAATGGAACTAAGACTCCAGCAACTCGAAGACGCATTTTTAGTGTCCATAAGCAGATAGTCACTCACCATAAGTCACCATCGGGTGCCCTGTGTGCTCGTTTGCCTCCTGTATCATAAAAAAAATCTATGGAATATTAAATCTGAAATCCAAAATACTTGTTATATATGTCACTTGTCAAATAATTCTGACAGTAATGCATTACTGTTTGTTTCGATTCTATCATATTCCATTGACGTAGATTTATCAGCCATTACAAGATTTAGAGCATTCAGCTGATATTTAACATTGACAGATTGGATTACTAAAAATTTGATGCTGTGTTTGTAATTTGTTGTATTGACTGGCTTGTTGCTTTAGTGGTTAGCGATCTTGGCTGTAGGTTTGTTTCCCATCCACGACAAATATTTTATGATGAACACGATCATTTCTTCTATGTCTGGATGTAATTTATCTATAAAATGTATATATTTAGAAATATATATAAAAGCTTGTTGAGCAGCGTTGCGTGAGATGTAGTTAGATATTATTTTTATTGTTTAATTGATCAAGAAACTTATACTTATGCGGTTAATAAAACGTCATTCACGATTATTTAAGAAACCACTTTAAAAGGATCCATGCGATTTGCATTTTTTGTGTTGATACGGAAAAATGCAAAAATGCGCATTTTTATACTAAGTAACCGTCACATTCTTAATGTGCTTTTACACTTGAAGAAGTAAATTGAACTTAGAAATGTATTTTTTTTCATTTTAATTACTTTATCATTCTTTTAGACTATTTCAAACCTTTCTTTTGCTGTTTTTTTTCTTAAAGCATCTACAAGTTTATGCGAACCCGGCATAAAATTTAAATTTGGATTCGGTAAATCATCAATGTCACTTTATGACTAGAATATTGATTTGTCTGAATGAAGGTCTATAGAAAAGGAATATAGCTATCATTCTCTCTTTTCTTATAATAGTCGCTTCGGACTTCAGATGTCTGACCTTTTTTATCGACGTTCATCCAATGGAAAGTGACAACCGCCCATGCCTGCCGATCAGAATAATCGTACTTTCTTTAATCCTTAGTCCCTTTTTGTGACATTGACATTAGAATGTTTAAATACAACACTTTGTAAATAAATTATCTAATTTAAAAAAAATACTTGTTTTATTAAATGGCCACGATGGAGCGACGTAATAACATATTGTTTAACTTTAAAAAAGAAAGAAAATCAAATATGTCTATGCACATTTCAAACCAGAATAAAAATTCATAATCACAACCTTATCTTATCGCCAGTTGATCTTTGCGTAAGCATTAAGCATTCTATTTGTGTGGCAAACGAGAATAAAGTGTCATCATTACCGTAGTGACAAGATTCCAATTTAAAAAAATGAAAAAGTATGAAGAATAGTTTTATAGATAAATTAAAACCATTAACATTATTAATACGCAAGGAAATTTTTTTGTATTCATCATAATAGATGTGGTATAAATTAAAAACCCTTTAAAAAAAACAGTTACATAAATATGAAGAAAATATATTTAAATATTTTGAATACCTTGTGCATTTAATGTAAATTGAAATTGCTCTGTCCAACATACCATTAAAATGAATATTTTAGAAGATATTAGAGGTATCAGCGGCCGGCAAGAGTGGAGCTGGCGTATAAAGATATCCTATCAAATTAATAGCATAATTAATTACCCCACACTGACACCACATTAGTAGTATCTACATTGTACCCGTGCGAAGCCGGGGTGGTTTGCTAGTTACTATATAAATAGGTAGGTAAATATTGACGATGCCATAGATTATTGGCATTGGCAGTCCAAGTGGCCAATTCCTCTCCGCAGTGTAGGGAACAACCTTCATCTATTACTGGCTAGTATCCAAGTTATGGACGCATGCTAACCGTTATTATAATCTTACTATATAAATATTTGCGCATCAGGCATGGAAAAACACCTCCGAGCTCGATATTTGGCGACTTTCTGCTTCCTTCCCCTGTACGTAGAATTATATTTCTGCCGGCTAATACATCATAATTCTAATTGAAAGGTAATGGGTGAACACGTGTGGTGACGGTCACCACCCCTATTTATCCCGTGGGTGTCGTAAGAGCCGACTAAGGGAGAAAACTAGGCAGAACAACAGCACTGCAGAGAGAAGGAAAACTTGACACTAACCCTATACCAACCCGTCTGGCCAGCGTGGTATAGTAGGCCAAAACCTCCTTTCTAAGGAGAGGCCTATGTCCAGCAGTGGACTATTAAAGGCTGTTGATGATGGGTGAACACAAGGGAGTGAGTATAAATTCTTAATAGATGATTCTTCAGAATCTTGTTCCCCATATCTACTTTGTGCACTTATTCATTTCTCATTATCTCAAACTGCATTAACAAACGTTCATTTTCGACATTGAACAAATTCAAAAATGAAATAAATAACCTTTATTAGTTAAGAATATCTGATCCTGATAAATTTTGAATAAAATTTGTTTAAAACTAACCTGCAAACATCATTACTTATTGTATTTAAATTAGACTTGCAACGAATATTCGGTTACTATTCGGTATTCGGCCTATTCGGCTGCTTTTATTATATTCGGCCGAATACCGAATATCTACATATTATTCGGCCGAATACCGAATACTTAAATAATATATTTTGTCATTGAGAAATAATTGGTAAAATGAAAAATTAAAATCGATTGATTACGTATATATTCATATTTTCATTTCTGTTATAATCATTTAAGTAGTCATTGGTGCATAACACAGGTACATAATCATCTTCTGAATAGGAAAAATGGAGGATTCTATGTATTTGAATTATTGTGGTAATCAAAATTTAGAAGGGTAAGGTTCTCATTTCTTTTATAATCATTTATTAAGTAGTCATTTTTACATAAAACAGGTACATAATTTAATTCACGTCTGTACAGGTTGCTGGCGCTAAAATCCAGCCGAATACTTTTGCCTAATATTCGGCTATTCGGTCAGGGGCCTCGCCGAATATTCGGTATTCGGTATACTGCCGAATATACTATTCGTTGCAAGTCTAATTTAAATTGAATTTAATAACTTTAAACTCGTTACTCCACCAGTAAGGGAAATTGACAGGAATAGTGTTTTACGTTATTAATGTTTCTTCTGTATTGTTCCAGCTGATAGAATAATATGTCACATGCACGAGGGAGGCGTGTCCGTAGTGTTACATCAAACGAACATCACAAAGCTGACGGCAAGAGTTATCCATCAGAGCGGTTACCATCTACACAAAGTGGAACATTTGTAAGTAACTTTGTAATTTTAAGTTACTATTTCCCAAAGTTTCGCGTCCGAGATTATATCTTATTTCATGTATCTAACTTTGAAAATGACGAACTTCCATGCAACCGTTCATGCCCTATTTTACCCCCTTAAGGGTAAAATTTCCAATTATTTCAAGTTTGTAGCCCCAGTGTGTATGAACGGATCAGTCAGTCAAAAATAAATATTTTCTGTATTCTCAATACTGAATGACCAGAAGACCAATTCTCGTAACAAATGTTCGGTCACAATTCAGTTCAACAACCTTTCATCAACTCTCGATCTCACCACTGTCATAAAAGTTATTCAGTTGTTGTTCCTGTCCTAGTGGCTTGTGGAATTAATCACAGAAGAGAAATAAGATTGGGTTCTTTGAGGTACTACACTATACTTCATAATTAAAAAATAATATATTTCACACATCTGTAGGCATCATTCAAAACTCTTGGCAAGCCAAGGCATAGCCTGTGCTATGGTAACCAAACTGCTGATAAACATACTTATATATTTCTATATACATCCAACTAATTTTTTAACTCTCTCGCCCTATGCTTTTTCTTTACAATTTTTTTGTAACCTTTTACCGAGTGAGTGAGGTTATCGGAGGGACCACCCCACCCCATATTCTTGGGAAGGTATTCGGGGGACGACGACGCACTTGCGTCTCTTGAGTTGCAAGTGTCCATGGGTGGCGATGGTCACTTACTAGCAGGTAATCTGTCAGTTCGTTTCCCCCTTTTTTTTCTGTGCGGAACTCCCCTCGGATACCACCAGTGGGTGATTATGTCGAACTCGAACCGACCAAAAACCGCACGCCGTCTCCAGGTACCAGTAGCCGGGGAACCAGGTATACCCTAGAAAGGAAAGCCCTAATACCCCGACGTACCCCAGGCCATCTACGGCTTATAGATGACCCCTCCAGTGTGGGAACCCGGATGTTCCCTTCCTGCTCAGAAGGGCGCGCGCACGCCGTAGCGCGTCGCGCCATTACCCACCCCGGCCTGCTTCTGCTAGAGTGACAGATGGGCTCACCTGTCACCCTCAGGCCTGCGCTTATGGAGGACGGAGGTAGGTCTGCGACGTCCGGCGCCCAAGCCGTCTGCGGTACCAGGCCTGGTCTCGGGCCTGGTACCGGTAAATCCCAAATAAAATTAGAAAAAATGCAGAAAGATGATGGCGATCAAGTTGCTGACTAGACTACAAAAATAGTTTTTATAATGATGTAGTTAGAGCTTATTTTATTTAGTACCGATATTTCTACACGACAAGTGTTTAAAAATCAAAAAAAAAATCGCAGCATCATTCCGTGAATACTTAGAAGTTAGTTAAGAACTTTAACAATTTTTTTACGCAATCCGATGGCTGTTGACCGGTGCTTTAACGTAATTGTCCCAGTACAGTGTTTTTCATACTCTATATAGTATTTATTATCTATCGCCTCGATTCCCTAATTAATCTCCGCGAAACTAGTTACAACAGGAATTTAACCGTACAAATAAATATGTCTGTGACAGATCAATCATGGACGCACCAAAGTTGGAGCACATCGCTGTAGAAGACTTGACAAAGATGCCTAAACTCAAGTCACTGTGAGTATTGAAATTAGATTATTTTTTCAATGGCGGCTTGTAGTGACGTAGTTTGCAATTAATAAAGATTAAGATCCGCAGGTTTTAAAAGAGACGAGGATATTAATAATTATATTTAAGGATAATCTGATCTCACAGGTTCATTACACAAGCGCCGCGATTACACCGGATCGCGACTTTGCCTCCACTGCCCGAGCTCCGCACATTGTACGTATGTATTTTATTTACATTTTTTTTTGGAAATATTTTTATCTATTCATTTTACAACTTTCTATTTCTAAAATGGAATCACTAACGAGTATTCGAACTCAAAATCTGTGTAAAAAGTATTTTATGTAATCTTCACTTGATTTTGAGTCCAGATTTTGAGAGACCCAAATTGGCACCCAAAGTATTCCAGCGTGGTGGGGGGTAAATTAGGGAACTGGTAAATTAGGTTTATATAAGTCCTAGTGCGTAAAGTGACCAACGAGAGAAATTATATTCATACATAATAATTATGCCTGTTAATAATTATGTAACTTTAATATTTTAAATAAAAGTTAATTATTTTAGTGTATTTTTTTTAATGTACGTGAAACTTTACTTATGCATATACTCAGGGAAATAAGCGTGCATAGGATTAGGGAAGATCAAATGAAGAATGTATGGAAGGGTTCAAGAGATGGGGTAGCGATGATAGAAACCTAAATCTATACCGATGAAAACAATTTTTGGTTCAACTAAATCAACACTCAATTAGTTAAAAAAAGTTAGTGAAATTATTTTAATCAAGTTAATAGTTAGCGAGTAAAAGTACGTGGAAGGGCAACTGAGCTCCCTCAGAACGCCCATGCGATGCATGTATATGCATGGAACAATAGCCTAAAAAACGCTACGAATTTTTAATTATATTGCACCACAGCACTGTCATAGTTTTCAACATTAAAATGTCCAACGCTACGCAGTAAGTTAGTTAATCGCTTTATACGTTAGTAGTTTTACAGATTTAAGTACTATGTCGAGTTTCATTGTTGTCTTACCTTAAGTTAATAGATATTTTTGTGTGTGTCGACTTATAAAGAAATGCAGCTGAACTGTGAAACCAATTCCGTAAAGGTGACACTTAACACAATAATTTTAACGAGAGATATTGAAATTTTAACTCAATAATAAAAATGCCAGGCTGTCTCAATAAAAAAACACAATATTCTGGATATAAAAAAGCTATAAATATAAGTCATACCCACACACGATAGTGGATCAACCTTCTTTTTATACATTTAGAAATAATAAACCTAAATCAAGGGGATCTAGAAAGGACCTAGATCCCCTGATTCCAATCGTCGTCACTTTTAGATTGTACCTCAAATCATGTATTATAATTACGTGATTATTGATTTTATCAACCTCTTGTTCTTTTTATCAACAACAATGCTATAATAGCTAATGCGTTGTCGGTCGAAGCCATCGCGCAGTGAAATAAATAAACTGCGGAGTTTTAATTGAACGTGTTGAACGTGTGTTATAGGGATGTACGATGTAACTGAGAACTGGCACTCACATCGATTTGAACGGTACAGCTCAGTTACATTGTACGTACGTACTCGTACGTTACGTAGTATAGTTACTCTCAAATCGTAGCGATTTCCCGTAGCATGTGTGGTAGCCTTTACATATATGGCGACGGCGTTGCGACGACTTGATCGGAGCAAGCTGACGACAGTGTGTTGGCGCTGTGATTAAGCAGCTTGATACTTTTTTTAATATAAAGTAATTTGTTTGATTGTATGTAGTTTTGTATCTTCAAGAACATTGACTAGGATTGGATAGGTATTAAAATAAAAATATTTCAATAATACTTATGTAATGTTTATTTTGACTATGTTTATTTGACTGCACGGATGGCGTAGTGGTTTAAGCGGTGGCCACGCCGCCGCTCACTACTACGCTGAGTGCTGTGGGTTCGATCCCCACATGGGACGTCAGTTTGTGTGATCCACAAATTGTTGTTCTGAGTCTGGGTGAAAAAAAATAATATATTGCATATAATAATCATAAATCTCGAGAGTTACAGAATTATGGATCATATTTCTTTATATTAGTATCTAAAAGAAACATTGGTTATTAAAAAAAACTAAATTTGATGAAAAAAACTAACTGAAAGTTATGATAAAGAGTTTTGGCTGTTAAAAAGATAATATTATTAAATCAAATATCTGCAGCATGGTTACTACGTCCGGTCTCCTGGAGGTTCCCAACCTGAGTCACGTGCACGACAGCAAGAGTACGCCAACTTATTTACAGGCCATGTAAGTATTATCTATACACAGTGAACTTATCATTTCCACAAAACGACCAACCTGTGGGACGAACTATCGCCTCTTGATATCTCCGGCTTCAAACCCTTAAGAAAAGAGCGGACTTCCACCTCAATGGCCGACAACGCACCTGTGTCTCTTGAGTTGTAGGCCATTGGCGCCGGTGGTTTTTCTCTTCTGCCTTCTCGTTTCCCCCTATGACATAAAAAATGGGTGTCCGAAACACATATGAACTAATAAGAATTGTTAATTTTTAAATTTTATAAATTAAAATTTATAATATAAATAAAATTTGATAAGTTATTAGACATAAAGCATGTTTTCGAGATTTGTTTTCTGAAATTTCGGCAAGTGCCGTGATTACGGATCAACTAAATGGCAGTGGGAATCAAGATATCGAGTCCTTTAATAAAAAAAATCTGTTAAAATATTACATTTTGATACGTTTTTCAGAGACTTGGAAGGGAACCACATCAGGCGATTGCCGATACACGCGCTGCGCGTGCGCGCCGATCAAGTGTAAGTCCTTAGGTACATACATGTGCTATTTTATTTATTTTTTCTTTGCTATTACCACCACCGCTGAATTGTCCACAAGAGCTAATATCCAGCTTTCTTATCTTTTATTTAGAAATTTTAAATAGTCTATTATTCTCTTTGTTCCATTAAATATACATATATTTTTTTTAAATATATGTGTGTACAAAAACAATAAATTGAAAAATAGTGTCCTATCGGTATCGGGTACAGGGACCAAGATATCAGTGGTTAGGACTCCAGAGACAGAAACCTCACAATACGTGCCGTACCTGGAAGAACTGCTTTCTGCATCAGCAATTAATCAATGGGCCGATATGACTATCAGTATAATGATTGCCACATGTCGACAATCTCGTGGGCCAAATCCAAATACTTTACTTGTTTATCTTTATCAGCTTTCAAGAGAGTGTCGACATGTGGAATTATAATGTCAACAATCATTGCTCGTTACACTAATCGGTCTATTACCACTATATCAGGTTTATTGGCAAGAATAATACTGTCAGTGATAATAGGGCGATCCCAGTACAACGTTGCACGACTATTTTCAAGAACTGGGTCGAGCGCATATTTGTAGTACGGTAACTCCACAGTCACAAGGTTATATACTTAAGATCAAGTTGCTGATGGATTGTCTATTATTATTATTAAACTACTTATACAACATTATATTAGGTACACAATAAATACCTAATATAAGAGTGTTATTTTGATTATGTAAATGTATGTACATGTTTATATGTATGTTTATTTTTTATATATATATTCGGGCATAACTGCGTCATATATGTATAGATGGATATTCAAAATTCTTTTTTTGTTCGATCTGCTGATGAATTTCGGAGAGAGACAACGGAACTCTTCGAAAAATGACAGCAAATAACCACGATTGCTGCTAGGATAATATTGTTTGAAGTCCGTTCAACTTTTTTAAAAAGGATTTTCTTGTTTATTCCCATTTTTATCGCTTATCTTTTTGTGTGAATGTATTTCTTAGTTACGTCTTATTACTTATATTTACTTTGGCACTTTGTATTCAAGTTTAGTGCTTATTCCAATTTATTCAACCAATCATTTCTATACCACCTTAGGGATTAGGGTAGACTGGTACAGACTAGAGAATGCCTGCCTTATGACATTAAGACTGCCTTGGTACATTTTTTGTGCTTAAAGCATTAAACAAAACAATTAAAACATAATTACTCTCTTTCTCTTTTCTTTAAAAAAGACAACTCCCGCACTAGGAATATATCCTGTGTCGCGGGGGACTTTACAAACATACATGAAACGGACACTAAGGAGACCCAGACTCAGAACAACTATTTTTGGATCACACATAGTGTCGTCCCATGTGGGAATCGCACCCACAACACTCGGCGTAGTAGTAAGCGGCGTGGCGACCGCTTAAACCACTACGCCATCCGTGCATCATTACTGTTGCAATAGAGGTCGTTTATTTAAAGTGATTTATTTATTTTTATTAACGCTTTTGCACTAACATGTACTACGAGTGTTTAGGTGCACTACTCTTGAATAAGAAGTTCTAAAGTAAATTAAAAAAAAATAATTAAGAAATAAACTCACAGGAAAAGAGAAGAAAGATGGCCGCCATCTCATTTTATTTAGTACATTTATTATAAAATTACTATGATAACCAGACTGCTGATAAACATACTTATATTTTTTTAAATACATACATATTGCAGATAAATTACACACAGACCCAGAACAAATGACCGTGCTCATCACACAATATTTGTTTGTTTACTTAGCTGTTAGGGTCACTAACCACTAGACCAACAGGCCCGTCAAAAATCATAAATAAAAACTACATCTTCCTTCAAAGAAACCATCTGTCTAATTCTGATTTATCGTTATCACCACAGGTACTAATACTACAACAGGTACTAACTAGTCTTAAAATAATCACATGAGCAAGTAATATATAATGTACATAACTAATTATTTTATAGGCAGTGATAAGCTTGAACGAAGATCTATCATTGACATTGTTTTGGTGAGGTAGTCTCTAAACGACGCCGACTTATCTAAACATTGAGTTTACAAGTAAACGAAGGAACGCAATATCTACACATAAAGGAGATCACCTTCATAAATGTACCACATACTCTGAAACAGACGTCGCTGAGTTGAAATCTAAAATAACAAAGCTAAAATTGACCTGGATTATGTTTATAGAGGATAGGTACATCCGGATTGTGGAGCTAGGGTTCTTATAATACAGCTGAGTAGGAGAATTGTCCGTGTCGTGACGGATTAAGAATACGGAGTGTCACCACCCCTATTCATCCCGTGGGTGGAGCCGACTAAGGGAGCAAATTACGAAGGACATCAGCACTACAAAGAGAAGGAAAACTTGAAACAAACCCTATACCAACCCGTCTGGCCAGCGTGGTATAGTAGGCCAATACCTCCTTTCTAAGGACAGCAGTGGACTATGAAAGGCTGTTGATAAAGATGATGATGATGAACAGAATTCCCATTGTCACTACGACGACTCTATTAAAGAATCAACCCCATATAGAATAGGATAAACTTTATTGTATTCGTAAACAGTGATTTTTTATGGTAAAGGAGGCAAACGATGGTAAGTAACCACCGCCCATGGATACCGAAGCCCATCTGGGGAGATGGCAACCCGATGGCTTCGGCAACCCCGGGAGGGGTCCCGGGGTTGCCGAAGCCAAACCCTATGTGGGGGGTTGGGCTTCGGTAAACTCACTCACTCGGTGGAAAAAAAAACGAAACAATTAACACTGGTTTTCTGTAAGGTCGTTTTACCACTCACACACAAAAAACTACGAAACATTTATTCCCTTCGATACGACATAATTAGAAGGAAGTTAAAATTGATTCAATTTGTTTACATAAATGGGTTTGGATAAAACGTTACGCAAAACACTTTTCACTTTTCTTATATGCTACGACTTCTTGACGACAACACGAAGTTTGAGGAACAGACTGAAATTAAAAATGTTTTATTTATGTCTTGTTTATATTCAAATGGGTTTTATTAAGTCGAAAGTTGGTTTACATCTGTCTTTCGAAATGGGATTTTTGGCGACTATTTAAAGGTATTAAAAAACATACAGTCAAGTACATTCAGGTCATAGACATTGTGGATAATGGTATTATCTGATTATACCTTGCAGGTATGTGGATAAGATAATTCGCTGCGGGAGAAAAGGCTTTAAAATAATCTGATTTCACAATAACAAAGTAAATTGAAGTCTTTTATGGGCCTTTAATTGTCGTCTTAAAACGAGATGTTTGTCTATGGTTGTTAGGCCGCATCTAGGACTCTATAAACGATAGCAAGAAGAAGCGGAGCGATCTCCAAAGCGAAATCGCTCCGCTTGTCACTAGGTATTTGCCTGTGATTGTTAGGCCGCATCTGGAACTATAAAAACGATAACAAGCAGAAGTGGGGCGTGGAAGTGGTCCTGCCACGACGCTGCTGTTGTTGAGGAAGTTGCCGTACTTCTTGTAAGGTTCAAGTTTATTATTTGTATTTTTGTAAAAAACTTTGGTACGTCATCCATACTCACTCACGCCTAAATTCCCAAAGGGGTGAACAGCGGCGTATTCAACACATATTTTACCAACTAAAATTGTAAACCTAAGTCTATTGACATCGATAGTATATTGAAAAGAAAGAAAAAGAAGGGAACCAACGATAGGACATTGCTTATACATATATTCTTAAAGTGATATTATAAGTATAGGTCAGAGTCGCTTAACTGTAATTTAAATTGGTCATTGTCTAAAAGACCGAGTCCCTTATTAACGCGTTTTTGTACTGAAAAATCGCCATCGCTTCCGCTCTAGTAGAGGACGTAGTTCTTCTTAGCATTAAACGCTTATCACAACATAATAAAAGGAGATATAGAAGTCGTGTGTTTTTATTACTCTTTTTATTTATACGGAGGTTTATTATGTGTGTACATGAATAATTTTAGTTAATGAAAACATTCATTAGGTAACTTACTAGCCGCCTACTTTTACTCGCTGCTGAGGTCGCGTTAACATCGATTTGTCTTCTGAATACTATACTATATATACTATACTATACTGTCTGTTCTCCTGGCAAAGAGTAAGTAGGTATTAAATTTGATAATGATAGGTTGAGAAGTTAAAACATGAAAGCACTACACACAAACACACATTAGAAATTAAGATAAAGATTGAATGAGATGTTTACTAATAATAACTTTGTGTAAATCTAAAAACATAATTAAGAAATGTACTAATAATAATAATAATTTAGTGTAGTAATTTAAAGTTAGTTAGTAGTAGCAAATAGTTTTCAAAAACTAAATTATTTATAACTTGATTCAAGGATCAAGGTAGTTTTCAAACACTATTTTCGTAGGTAACCTATTTCTCATTAGTAAAGCTCTTGTTAGTAATCTTTTTAAAAACTAATCGATTTAAAGTTCCTTAATCAATATTTTTTAAATGTAAATGGAAATTCATCAAGATTCTGACTCAAACTCAAACTCAACTCAAACTCAACTCAAACTCAAACTCATTATTTCATAAAATTTTCAAAATTGTTTGAAATCGTCTTTTATGTAGACTTTAAAATCATAGATCAACACACACAAAAGCAACAATCTCTGTTTTGTCAAATAGTAAGCAAATAAATTTAACAAAAATCAAACCCATACAAAATCTATGATATGCCTGTGCCGATCTACAACCGCCCGTTTCCAAGGGGTTGAGCCTTATGAGAGGAAAGGGCAAACAAACTCATGGCCACTCTTTTGCAATTCACAGGTAGACGTTCAAATTACAAGGAAATTAATTTTCATTCGTCTTTTTCTGAAACGTTGCTTAAACAGGTGTTACAAGTGTTGAGTGATCTCTTTTACTATGCAATGACTGCGACTACAAAATGTTGATACGTGGAAGTAATCCAATGTTCCAGAAAAAATTCGAACATTTTAGAGTATGCCGCGATGTTCTACTTGTTTCCAAAAAGATGTTAAGTCAGTGTAATTATTACAAGATTTTTCGGTAAAGTTCACGAACCTTGTAAAATTTTCTATGAACTGTTTTATTGCCTAATTCGATATATACACGACGTAATCTTCTCTAGAATTATTCTATTTCTACAACACTGTACAAGCAAATGTGACTGTTTATTGTAATTAATTTAAATAAATTATGCTTATTTCGTGTATAAATCGGTGTAGGTACTGATCTAATCATGAACCCCAACTTTTAAAATATTAAGTACTAATAAATACCTCAGGGCTAATATCTTTATTGTACATATTACCTGACACCTCGTATCTTAATCTCTGGTTTATTGTATTGTTATGGTTGTAAAAATGAATGAATGTAAAAATTACATATTTTTATATCACACTTACGTGAAATTAATTATCTGGATTTATTATAATCCTTTTTACTTTTTGAAATATATTTGTAATATGTTTGAGTACACAAATTTCTAAAAACTTTTCGTGCTCTACGTTCGAGTTTAGAGCGAAGTTTCTTCGGTAAATAAAATTTAGAAAAAAATATTAGTTATTTTATGTTTTCAGTAATCTATTACAGAGGTTGGTGTGAGAGGGACCACTAATACTTAAATATATTTTATGTAAATAATACAGAAAATCTGATACCCAAATTTTGATTAAGTTATTAATTTTGAAAGAACTTGCAATATTGTGACTTATTACAGCTAGGCATAATCAGATGGCTCCTTGTATATGTCAGCAGGGCTGTTTAAAAAAAATACGGTCAAGCTCAACAAATATGTAGGATTATTGGGTGATTAAGATTGTAAAGCAGCATCATTTAAATTAAAATCTTATTTTTAACACTTTTTTTTTTTTTTTTTTAACGTGTGGAAATCCCCTCGGACCGTCACCCCTCCGGGGTTTGCGGCGGGGTGGTGTGTCGGACTCGGACCGACTAAAACCACACGGTGTGCCACTCTGCGCCTGTAACAGGAGGGATCCGGGAACAGCTGTTGTTAAGACATCCGGACCCCTCCTAGCGCCAGCCCGCTCCTGGTGCGGGCTCCGTCTCAATATTTTTCCTCTCTTTAGGCGACGTCCGGCACACGCGGACGCCGCCCCCTCGCGGCTGGCCAAACTAATGCGGGTGGACGGGAAACCCACCCCGTCCACCCGCGGCCACACTCAGGGCGGCATGAGGCTGTGATAGGCGGGCCTCCGCCGCCCGGTTCGCCGGCGGCGGATCGGGTCCGAGTGAAGGTCGTCCTCCCGGGCCCTCTCCGCCGCCTCCTTCCGCGAGATTACTACCTCGCAGAAGGTTGCGACCGCGGTAAAACAACTGTCGCTACCGGCCGTGGAGCGTACTACGGCCGGTAGCGAGAGATCCACTCCGATGACTGCAGTGAGGGCCCGGCGCTGCGCCGCCCATGTGGGGCAGACCGCCAGCGTGTGCTGGACCGAGTCCTCACTGCAGTCGCAGTGGTGGCAGGCGGGACTCAGTTCCCTCCTAGCGACCGAGTGCAGGTACTTTCCGAAGCAACCGTGCCCGGAAAGCACCTGCGTCAGCCGGAAGGAAAGGGTCCCGTGCTGCCGCCCCGCCCACTCTTCGATGACCGGCTGGAGACCGGCTGGAGACCATAAGCTAATTGATTCTATTACCTACCCTAATATTGTGTAATGTATCACTTGCCTGAAATAAATCATAATTATTATTTCTGTGCAGTAAAGATTTCTTCTTACTAAGTAGTAATTATTGATAATCTGCCACATCAAAAGAGTTTTACTTAAAGCATGTGCAAAGCCCCGTTTTTTGTGTACTTAAATTTTGCTTTCTTTCTTTCAAGGTCTCTAAATTACAACCTTCTTGAAGAAGTTCCAGCGTTTGCTTTCAAAAATTCACAAATCTCCAAACTGTAAGTACTAAATTTTATTTAGTTTTAATCACACATTTTCCTTCCTAAGTCAGGCTGTTGAAAAATTCTTTAAATTGTTTTTAAGATTTTTTAATGATGCTTATAGTAGGCCAAAACCTCCTTTCTAAGGAGAAGCCTATGTCCAGCTGTGGACTTTTAAAGGCTGTTGATGATGATGATAACGCTTAAACGAATGATATTATCTAGGTAGAAGTTTAAAGTGTGTATCTTTCTACAAGTACATCTTTGTACTTAGGTTTTTTGTTTGAAAAGTGACTTATTTGAGTGTTTTAAGCTATAATTCCAGTTGTTCAAAAGTTCTTATAGAAGCTATTTTGTAATCCTGAAAAAAACTTGAGTTTGAGACTTTAAATTATACTTTTTTATATGAATCATGATTTTGACTTGCAGGAGCTTTAGAGGCAACGCAAAGCTGAGGCATCTAGATGAGAATGCATTTGCATCGAACCTACTTCTCCGACAATTGTAAGTAATATGACTTCATACAAAAAAAACTACACAACAAAATAAAAAATAAATTTTGAATTTAAAAAAAGTGCTAGACCGATTTTGTAAATCCTTGTAGCTATTTAAATAAGACTGTGGAGGAACGGGTGTCATGTCCCTCCAACACAAAGGGAGGATCCTCCGACCAGGCGAGGTGATCATGCCTGACGGGCCGCGGCCCAACGGTTGATGTTGGGAAGTTGCATATATGCTAATCGGCGAGAGAATTCTTAATGTCGCGATACAGGATTAGCAATTCTTATATAGTTACTCCGTAGTTCGGTGTGTCTTCATTAGATGGCACTGTAGTATGTTTATGTTTCTTTGTATGTGGGCGTCGCATCAGCATTTAAAAAAAAAAAAAAGAAAAGGTCGCGGAAATTTTAAACATGTTTTTAGGGACAGCAAGTTATAAATTTATATTTATGGACACTGCACTGACAACAAAAGGAAAACAAATTTCGCTGTCATCCCCGTGTTAAGCTAAAACCTTTGTAAAAATCGAATGTCTGTTTCTTTGTTTTAGAGATTTAAGTAGCACCGCAATCACCTCACTGCCAACGGCAGGCTTACAGAAGTTAGAAGTACTTAGAATAGAAAAAACTCCCACACTTAAATACATCCCATCTATCTACGAGTTTCAGGTGAGTGTCTCTAAACTGTGTTCATATAGTTTGTAAATAATAATATACCTAATAATAACTTGACACGTGTCACATCCGGCCCGTCTGATCGCAAACTAGGGAGAGCCTGTGCTATGGTAACTAGACTACTGATAGATAGACGTACCTACTTAAATATTTCTAAATACAACTACATATTGAAGGTTTGATAGGAAGGTATGTATAATTGGAATATTAGACTAAGGTGAACTGCCACCATATTACCTTTAACATAGTCATTCCTTTTGGCCCTGCTGTTAAGCTCAGCTGGCAAACACAGGTCACGAGCGTCAGACAGAGAGTCACAGGTACGCTACAGGCCCTTTATCGGCTTAAGAATTTCCTCCCTTCAAGACGAAAGCGATGCTTGTACAGGCCTTTATTGTTCCCATCTTGGATTATGGTGATGTATGCTATTATGACCTGAATGCAACTTCCTCAATAAAATGACCGCCTTCTGAGTAATTGTCTTCGCAAATACGACCTTGTCTCCTTCTTTCGTCGCGAATTGAACTGGTTCACTATTCGTCTTCGCCGTCAGCTGCGCGCCCTCACCACTCTCTATTCCATTCTCAACTCACCCATTTCCCCCTCCTACCTTACATCTTCATTCCAATTTATATGTTCCAACCACGATAGAACCCTCCGTTCATTAAACAATCCTCTTTTGCTTTGCCCCACTCATACTTCCGCTTGTGTCCACTCCTCGTTCCTAATCCAATCCGTACGAGGAGTACGGATTGGAAATCAGGATAGCACCCAGCCACCAGTGGAAATCAGGATAGCACCCAGCCACCTCTCGTTCAAGATGAAAGTTCCAGCTCGCATTCTAGATACCCTTTTTTTTCCGTGCGGAAATCCCCTCGGATACCACCTATCGGTGGCATGTCGGACTCGAACCGACTAAAACCGCACGCCGTCTCGGGGACTAATAGCCGGGGAACCAGGTATACCCCAGAAAGGAAGTCCCTGGTGCCCCGACATACCTCGGGCTATCTACAAACGAGTAGACGACCCCCCCCCCCCCCGTGCGGGAACCCCATGTTCCCTCTGCTCTCTGGAAGCGAGCGCGCTTCGCAACGCGCTCGCCGCCACCCCGGCCTGCTTCTGCTAGGGTGACAGATGGCGCCTGGGCTCCTGCGCCGGACAGGCCTGTCGACGTCGATGCTGAGGCACAGTGGTTCTGGGAGGCCATGACCCGCGTCTGCGATGCGGCGATGCCTAGGGCTCAGCCCAATACTGCGAGGCGCTAGGTCTACTGGTGGTCGCCGGAGATCGCACGGCTGCGTCAAGCCTGCGTGACCACGCGCCGCCAGTGGTCCAGGTTCCGCAGGAGGCGTCGCCGCCCCGAAGATGCGGCAGCGAGAGAGGCGGAGCTGTTAGCGGGTTACAGGGTTGCCAAGAGGACCCTTCAGGCAGCGATAAAGCGGGCCAAGAGCGAGGCCCGCCGCGAGATGCTGGAGACACTGGAGCGGGATCCGTGGGGACGCCCCTACCGTATAGTTAGGGGCAAGATGCGCCCATGGGCCCCGCCGCTCACACGGTGTCTTCAGCCAGAGCTGCTTGAGAGGGTCGTTGGCTCCCTGTTCCCAACGCGAGTGGTGGAGCATACTCCGCCACAGATGGCTCCGCCTCCGGCGCTTGAGGCGCCTAACGTGGATGACGACGACGTGCCTGAGGTCACTGGGGTGGAACTAAGGGTGGTGGTGTTACGGCTTAAAGCTAAAAACACCGCCCTGGGACCCGATGGCATTCCTGGCCGAGCGTGGGTCCTGGCCTTAGTCGACGAGGCTCTCGAGCCCCGACTGCGAGGGTTCTTCAGCGCATGCCTCGAGCGGGGCCAGTTTCCGAAATTGTGGAAGACGGGGAAACTGGTCCTCATCCGAAAGGAGGGGCGCCCGGCGGACTCAGCATCCGCCTACCGGCCCATAGTGTTGCTTGACGAGGTGTGCAAGCTCTTTGAAAGAGTGATTGCAAGGCGCCTCGTCAAGCATCTCGTGATGGTTGGGTAGGATCTGGCGGACAACCAGTACGGTTTCCGTCAGGGGCGCTCCACCGTGGATGCGATCATGCGCGTGAAGGCTCTGGCGGAGGAAGCAGTCTCCCGGGGCGAAGTGGTGTTGGCGGTGTCCTTGGACATCGCCAACGCATTCAACACTATGCCCTGGAGCTTCATCAGGGAGGCGCTCGTGTATCACGAAGTGCCTCTCTACCTCCGCCGCATAGTCGGGGCATATTTGTCGGAGAGAGCCGTCGTCTACCCCAGTAGGACCGGTCTCGGTAGGCGTGAAATGTCGTGCGGTGTTCCGCAGGGATCGGTGTTAGGGCCACTCTTGTGGAACATCGGCTACGACTGGGTGCTTCGTGGTGCCTTCCTGGATGGTGTCGCCGTCGTGTGCTACGTGGACGACACACTCGTGACGGCGCGCGGCAAGACGCACCACGAGGCAACCCTGAGGGCCACGGCCGGGGTTGCCAAAGTCGTTGAGCGTATCCGGCGGCAGGGTCTCGAGGTGGCTCTGCACAAGTCCGAGGCCCTGTTCTTCCACGGGCTTCGGAGGAAGCCGCCTGAGGGATCTAGCCTCACGGCAGGAGGCACTCGCATCGGCATCGAGCCCTCGATCAGGTATCTGGGGCTCGTACTCGATGGCCGATGGGACTTCGGATATCATTTCTGAGGTCTGGTCCCCAAGTTGGTTGGGGCAGCGCGTGCGTTGGCGCGGCTGCTGCCCAACATGAAGGGACCCGATGACTCCTGCAGGAGACTCTACTCGGGGGTTGTGCGGTGACAGATGGCCTCACCTGTCACCCCCAGGCCTGCGCTTATGGAGGACGGAGGTCGTTCTGCGACCTCCGGCGCCTGAGTCGCCTGCGGTACCTAGCCCGTTCCCGGGCCTGGCGGGCCGGGAGAGTTCTAAACCTCTCCCGGTCCCGCTCCGCCGTCTCCTTCGCGAGCATAACTTGCTCGCAGAAGGAGACGGCAGAGTTCCACGCACTCTCGCTCCGCACGATAGCCGCAATCAGGCTATCGAGCGAGAGAACTCCCACTCCGATGGCCGCCACGAGGTCTCGCCTCTAGTCAACCCACGCCGGGCTCATTCTAGATACCCTAGCAGTTTCATTACAACCTTAAAGTTTTATACATTACTTATTAATATGTAGGTTTACGGTTTACGGATGGCGCAGTGGTTTAAGCGGTCGCCACGCCGCTTACTACTACGCTGAGTGTTATGGGTCCGATCCCCACATAGTTCTACTTTGTGTGATCCAAATTGTTGTTCTGAGTCTGAGTGTGCTTTGTGTCCGTTTCATGTATGTTTGTAAAGTCCCCCGAAACACAGAAATAATGCGAGTGCGTGAGTGAATGCCTAATGCGAGTCGTCTTTAACAAAAAAAGGTTTATGTATGTACGTACGTAACTAGGTAAGTATTTATGTATGCGTATGTATTTGTTACGTATGCATGTATGTATATTTATCGCATTATTTCTGTCTAACTCATCAATAATTTTCTTTTACTTTAAATAAAATTATCTAGTGCCTAGTCATACATTTCAGCACCACCCTAAGGTAGACTGGGCCTCAATTCTGCTATTACGCCAAGCCAGTGTCATACCACTGACACGCTATTGAGATGCCATCAAGTGGCCATTGGCATCGGTATAAATATCGGTAGTATTTTCAACTACCTATATTACTATACCTATACTACGTATATTACGTTTTTTGAGGAAATGATTTATTTGTTTTTATTATAATAAATTATTAAAAGAAATAAATAAATAAAAATAAAATTATAAAAAAGGAAATAAATAAACTTAAATAAATTATTAAAGAATAATGATGATGAAAATATGAAAATTATAAAAAAAGAACAATAAATTATTAAAATAAAAATATCGATGGCATCACAATAGCGTGTCAGTGGTATGACACTGGCTTGGCGTGAACATAAAATAGCAGAATTGAGGCCCTGGGAGAAAATGCCCGTGGCATTAAGTCCGCCATTGTACAACTCATACTTGTGCATATTGTAGATAAATTTGACCCAGACACAGAACAAAATTAAGTGATCGTGCTCATCACACAATTATTTTTCCTAAGTGGGAATATCACCCACGACCTCTGCCTTAGCAGTCAGGGTCACTAACCAACAACAGGAACAATTATATATATATTTATTGCCGTAATTGATAAAAAAGCAGAAACTTACTTACCTATACTTAAACAGCAAGAAACAAAGACTCGCGTCCAAATAAGTATTTACTAAACTTTGAATAATTATTACGATCGTTCGTCATTTCTTGTGTAACAGAATCTTCAGAAAGCGTACCTGACGCATCACTTCCATTGCTGCGCGTTCAAGTTCCCGGAGCGACACAACCCTATCAGGCATCAGATGTACAAAAAACAGATGGATCTCATGAAGGAGGTATGAACAATTATAATAGTACTAGCTGTACCCTGCTACACTTCGTTGTGGCATATTTTAGTTGCGTTGATGAGAAATATGGAACAACACAAAATTATCTCTGAAGCCTGTTGTATATCGTGTCCAAAAAGCTCAATCGGTGCAGAACTGTTTGAGCTTTTGCAGCGTACACAAGCCAACTTAACATTTTATAAACTATTCTTAGGCATAACATACATCGCCAGTGTAGATGGCGATGTATATATATAAACACAGCCTGTACTGTATCCCCCAAAATTAATTGATGGGTTAAAGAAGGCAGATGAGGTGGACTGGATGCGGAAGACGATGGACTGTGTGCTACTGCCCGCGCACACTGGCATAGACCTATGTCTAGCTGTGGAAAGCTAGACTAATTGATTAATAATATTATTCTATAAAAACACTCAGATAAAAACAAGTAGCCGTCTGTGTAAATTTTTGCACTGAGCGGAGTCGAATCCGCTACAGGTTTTTTTTTTATTAGGAACTCGTCATCGCTCGTTATTAAATCTCTGAAGTCATTTTCACTGAGTCCAATTTGTCTTGACTCTACTATTTTCAAACCATTGGAGAGCATGTCAAACTGATATGGGCCGCCTTGACGGGAGAGAAACCACGGCCTTATAAGTAGAACACCGATGTTTAGCATTTCTGAGGGGGCTTATCACAGCTATAAAACCCGTGAACACCTGCTACTCAAGAGACAAAGTTCATTGCTGTCTATTCTCGAGACACTGGAGCTTTGGCGCTCAATAAAACGATGATTAGTAGCGAAAACAATTGAATTTAATTAAATAAAATTGTAACACCGTTGTACACCTTTGATAAGCAAATAAATAAATTATGAATTAAAAAAAATATGAATTATGAATTTAATGCTGATATTCGTTTTATTATAAGAATGTTCACAATTCGTGTGTGTTCGTGTTGAATTTAGAATAGCAAGTACATGTGCACAATAGCAGGTAGTATTTTTTTCTTTTCTTCAAAAAAACTATAATTTCTAAGTACCGTCATAGTTCGAAGCGCCTACACAAACCAATATAATAATAATAGGTTGTGATAACTGTCAGGTGTTAACAGGTGCCATTATTTGAGAGCACAAGAGTTAGAAGGAAGGGTTGAGCATCCAGTAACCTCACTCACTCGGTGAAAAGCAAAGAATGAAAGGATTAACACCGAAATTATGTCAGATATGGTATCACTCCGGTCCAGCCGACCAATATGTACCAGCATGGATCGCCCAGACGCTGGCTTGTCAGATTACGCAAATTTTTAATGGTTTTGGAGCTGGGTTTGGAAACTCTAGGCAACTGTTTCTACAACAGCAAAGGTTTAACAATTTTATTTATTTTTCTGTTCAGAAATGCGCACAACAACAAAAGGTGGTCAGAAAACGAAGGTCCTTAGAACACTTGGAGCCCTTCAAGGTTATCCCGCAGCAGTATTACAGCACGAATTTGGACAATATTACAACGTAAGGCTAATCTTCTCTTAAGGTGCCACTTTCACTCTGTTTTAAATATTTGTATTCAATATTTTATGCAGAAACAAGAAAGCTCAAATCTTAATATAAAATCTCTTTAAAATCGTTCTCTGTGCGAATTTTTAGGAGACGCCATATTTAATAGTGGAGGTGCTATGGCTAAAATGAACATATCATAGGAAAACAATAAAAATGGAACGCATATTGTTCATTCATAATAATTCAAAAACTTATTTTCAGTGATTCTGGTGAAACGGATCTTTCGACAGCTACTACGAGTGAGGAGTACGACACTAATGCAGAAGATTACTTCGGTGACTCTGGCAGCTGGGAGGATGAAGACCCAGGAGAATTCCACGAGCCTGTTAACAATACTTCTGGCATTGGATTCACTATGTCAGCGGAATGCGGCAATTTTAGTATGAGGTGAGGACTCTGTTCTATTTTATGCAAATTGATACTATCTACAATTGGTTGGTTAACTTCGAATGGCTCCATTAATGGTTTTGGTGTCAAAATAGTCCAGGATGTTCTCTGATTGCACCGGAGATTTCCTGTGTAGGGTACACCTGGTTCTCCGGCTACTGGTACCCGAGACAGCGTGCGTTTCTACTCGGTTCGAATCCGACATAACCACACCTTTGGGTGGTATTCTAAGGGATTTCCGCACAGAAAAAAAGATGTTCTCTGATTCTAGCAAATGCAGAATTAATGCAAAACCTACCTACCTACTGCCCATTTAGCCCATCCCCATTACAATGTATGAATGAAATATTTAACTGCATAATAAGACAGTAAAAAAACCATTTATTTCAACTTCTCCTTTACTTACAGCCCGCGGAAAGTAGACTGCACACCTATGCCAGACGCGTTAAACCCTTGCGAGGATGTAATGGGCTGGTCATGGCTTCGAGCGAGTGTCTGGTTCGTCATAGCAGCTGCAGTGGTCGGCAACGTAGCCGTACTACTGGTCTTGCTTACCAATCACATGGAAATGACAGTACCAAGATTCCTCATGTGCCACCTCGCGTTTTCAGACTTGTGCACTGGTCTTTACCTCTTCATGCTTGCAGTCGTAGACCTAAGATCCTACGGAGAATTTTTCAACTACGCCTATGATTGGCAGTATGGGATAGGATGTCAGATGGCTGGCTTTCTATCCGTGTTTTCGGGGCAATTGTCGGTTATAACACTGACTATTGTAACATTGGAGCGCTGGTTCGCGATAACTTACGCTATATATTTGGAGAGAAGGATTTCATTGGCTGTTGCTGCCAAGATTATGATCTTTGGGTGGTTGTTCTCGGCACTCATGGCTGGATTACCACTCGTCGGCGTCTCAGATTACTCATCTACTTCGATTTGTTTGCCAGTTGAAAGCAAAGATGTCGGCGATGCTGTGTATCAAGGGTCCATTTTTATGACAAGTGCTTTAGCGTGGGTGACAATTGTGATATGCTACGTTCAAATATACAGGTCATTGGGTGGAGGGGAGAGTTACGGAGGTAGAGGAGCAGCTGCTGCAGCTGAACGTCGTATTGCGAATAAAATGGCGTTGCTAATTGGAACTGATTTACTTTGTTGGGCGCCTGTAGCGTTTTTCGGAGTGACGGCTTTAGCTGGTGCACCTTTAGTGGATGTGAGCCATGGAAAAGTTTTATTAGTGTTTTTCTATCCACTGAACGCCTGTGCAAATCCATTCCTATACGCCATTCTAACAAAACAGTACCGAAGAGATTTATTAAATCTAATAGCAAGGACGGGTAAATGCAACTGGTTGATAGAGAGGTATAAATTGGCAGCTACCCCACCTCCGACTGCGCATACCAACCAGTCAACGCCTGCACAACTGCTGCCTTTAGTAGATAACCAAAAACGCCAATCGCTAGGAGGGAAAGATAGTGAAATTACGCTTTAAATGTTAACTTTAAGAGTATGATATTATTATACAATGTTTTATGTATATTTGCCGTATTTTTATTACTTTTACCTTTTCTAATTTGATTATATGGACACTTAACACGTGGACAGCAAAATTACACAAATGGACACACTACCAAATCTTGTAAATTTAGCCGAACGGCGAAGCATGAGCTGTAAACTCAAAAAACAGCCGATCCATAACATGCACGTGACTTACACTACTATAACGTTCCCGCCTAGCTAGTTCCTTTTGTTGCTATGTTCTTTATACTAATACTATTGTAGAATCCCCCATCCCATACCTTCAATCCTGTTATTAACTTACATTTATATGTATGAAAAGTTGATATTTATTTTAAATCTCACAAAGAAGTTCGGCGATTTTTGCATCAAGTCTAGGCAGGTATATAAAAAACAATTCCTATCTACGAACGATACTAGACACGTAGAAGTCATTCAATGTTTTAGAAATTTAGAGAGGTATTTCTAATAAATCATCAGATATTGTAACAAGGCTAGTAGAAAAAAAGAGACGCTGTATTATCTGTTTACATGGTTGTCCTCGTATTCGGATCTCGTGGCAAGATCCAATGAGGATACAAGACACAAAGCCTGTGAAGACTGTACTAGAAATTTCCCATATATAGAATCGCTTACACCAACAAAAAACCATACCTATTCTTGAAATCGAAACAAAAAAATTCATGGAGTATGTTACTCCCCGATTCTGGGAGGGGGGAGGCGCAGGGATAGGGGGGACATTCTTGAGTTGCAAGTCCATGGGCGGCAAGTGCGAGTATATTTCACATCTATTCAATCGTCACGGTAGGCGCGTTCAGTGTTGCGATTGGCCCGCCCTGAGGGCCAAGTGCGAATTTGGCGTTTGGCCCTCTGATATCTACACCAATCACAGCGCCGAATGCAGTCACCGTAACGATCAATAGTTGTTGTTTACAATAAAAATAAAACTACATGGGCAGGTATGTAACAAAAATAAAATCAAAACATTTCATGTTTTTATTTAATACATAATAAATAGGTAACCTTGATTCATACATCCCAGTCTGAAATACATCAGCTCAGAAACAATTGAGCATGTTCTTCCAATTCACTTAGAATATTACTAGAAATATACTCAACTACCAACTTATCCCCTTCAAGCAAAATCTCATTTTTAATTAACTCTGAAATTTCTACATCCATTTTCAGAGGGCTAATGCAGTAATTATCCAACTGCCTAAAAAGCCTTAGTTTTACATTTGTGACTTTGTTATTATCGTTTTTAATATTGCAAGATTCACAAATGCTGTCAATGGCTCTCCCAAGACTCCATTTAGAACTTATAAATGTTGGGACTGTGTCTTTTAAGTCGGGGTCTAAAGTTACCCCTTCAATTTTTTCTAAAGAATTCTCTTCACGGATGATTTTCACTGGTTTCGGTTCCATGCTTAGAGGTTTTTTAACAGCAAAGTATATTCGGTCCGGTGTAGGAATTGTTTTCAGTCCAACTGCCTTTTGTTTAATTCTCATTAAATGAATCTTTGAGGCAGTCTTTACTTTAGCTGATGATTGTAATGCTTTTCTTATGTTTTCCGTTACCTGAAATTATAAAAACTTGGTTGTAAATTTGATTTCTTCTCTAATTGAAAATTATTGTTGCATAGATAGCCTATGATTATATGATAGATCTTTACAACACATATCTTGGGCTATAATAACATAATGACTAACCTGGCCTATTATTTTTTTTAATATTAATTTTTGTACTTAACTATGAGAATTATACATTCTGAACTGGGCATTGTTGCTTTAGACACCATTCGATAATTAAGAGCTATATGCTAACTATCGCCAGAGGCTTAACTCATGTGATTATTTCATGATGTACTTTGAAAATGATGAACTTCACGATTTATCATTTATTTTACCCTCCTTTTGGGTAAAATATCAAAAATATCAAAAAAAAATTTCTAGAATACTTAAAGTATATTAAGTATCACCTTCTCTTGCAAGTGTTTATTGGCTTCCCTAAATTGTCTTCTAGGTGCCTCAAACTCTTCTATCTTCTTTGACATAGTTACGTCATCTATCTCTGGACAAGATCTGTAATGTAGAGCATTTTCTCTTAATACTTTTTTGGAATATTTCGTGTTTCTTGAATTAACAACACAACAATGAATAAAAATGTGTTCATATTTCATGGAATAAAAAATTTATTTAATAGTTTTGTAGACTTATAGGTTCTTACAAATATTATTAATACTGTTTTCTAATTGTTTGGAAGGGATGGAAGGACACTAGTGTTATACCTAACTGTGAGAAGGCCATGTTTCAGCACAAATGAGCTGGTTTTGTATGGTGACGGATTAAGAATACAGAGTTTCACCACCCCTGTTCATCTCGTGGGTGTTGTAAGAGCCAACTAAGGGAGAAAATTATGCAGGACAACAGCACTGCAAAGAGAAGGAAAACCTGAAACAAATCCTATATTAACCCATCTGGCCAGTGTGGTATAGTAGGCCAAACCCTCCATTCTAAGGAGAGGCCATTTCCAGCAGTGGACTATTAAAGGAAAATTAATTAATATATTTACATAAACTTCCTAGACTTATTGTAAGAATACTCACAAATGGAATCTGTGCTCAATACAAAAGTGTTTATTACATTTCGGACACAACATTTCATGAAGATTTCCTTTCCTGCATCCTTTTTCAGAACATCTGAATATTTGATCATCATTTTTAAGGTTAACTTCTTTTGGTTTTGGCGCCAATTCACAGTCGCCAGAAAGACAATGATGATTAAAATGCTCTCGACAAAACACTTTTCCGCATTTACACTGGAGCGGTAAAAAATCTGTTTGGTTGCAGGCCTCAAATTGGCAGTGCTCACCGAGAGTTGGAAACTCCATGGATTTTGCTGTATAGTGTAGACCTTTGTTTGTTGTAAATGTATTTTCATGTAAATTAAAGTTAATCAAAGAGTAACTTCAATGTATTTTTTATTGTTTTGAATTGAATAGTACTCCTCGTTTCTTTATGAAAACAACAACAGCCAACTTCGTCCGTCTTCCGTTACCATTGACAGCCAGAGGGAACTGACAGAATGGAAAATGTTTCGTATTCATTTTCTCTCATTGACTTTAATATCCCTGAGAAAGAAATAAAAAATAAATATTTTAGAGATATACAGTAATAAATACTGGATATTAGCTAGATGTCAAGTATCAAAAATTATTTAAAATCATTACACGTTCAAAAATCATAAAATAAATTGAACTAAATAAAATTAAATGTTTATAAGGCAGTGGATCAGGGTGACCAAATTACACACTTTAGATTTTAAGTGCACTTTCATGTTACTGTATTCAGGTATTCTGTGTAATAAAGAATCAAAAACTAATGATTCTAAAAGATACTAATATTAAAACACGAAAGAAGATGAAAACATCTTTTAGCTTTTTGAAATAGACTTGTGTTCCTCGTTTTCCAATTATTTTTATCTTTAATATTGATTAAAGATAAACAAATTGGTTAGTAGTAGTAGTTTGATAATCTGAGTAAAGGAAGAACATAATATATCTGTCTTCACTGATTGTCTATCAACGTGAAAAAACATACTTAAGCAATTAGAAACTCAGCAGGTATTTAAAAATATTGATTTTAAAAGTATATTTCAAAAAGCTAGTACCATTAGTAGCTCTAAATCCTCTGAAAAATTCAAATACCTATCCTTGAATCCTAATACTGAAACAGATATATTCTGTAAGATAAATGCAGACATTCAATGCAGACTAAAGACACTTACCGAAATAAAATACGTGTATTTTATCTAAAATTTCATTGGCACGTTGGAGTTCAAAGTATGGCATTCCCGTTAATTTAAAACTACTCACTAAATACATAAAAACAGATACGGCATTACAATAAGGAATGTCTTTAAAACTTGCTTCCAAGTCATTTTGCTGCGATTAATGATATGTGTGTAAGACTAAAAGACCTCCTTATTAAATAGTGAACTAAAGAGCAATATTTACACATACGTCTGATATATAATTTAATACATTTATTATTTATAAATATAATAAAAGTTTAAATCGCAAAACACAAGGATGACCATGATTATTGTTATTTTCTTCATGCAAAAATATTCCGCTATAATTGCCAGAATGTTATTTCATTGATTCAATGGATTTTATTCTATAGAGAATTAGGTCTACATCTCTGACTGACAGTCTCAGATTGTGATAGAGAAGCATTTGATACTATTAGAGGGAGTAATTAAATAATTCTAGTTATAAATCTTATCACACGTAGTTAATCACTGCTTTAACTAGAGATCTAAAGGGACTGGTAGAAATGGTTTAATCACTAATATAGGTGTGTGCTTGTGGTGTGGTTTTATTCGTAATAAGCTGGTTATCGTAATATCCCCGGCTACTGATTATTGCAGTCTAAATACAGATTCGGATCTAAAGTTGTTTTAGTTAATGCCTATAGACGTGACCTTGAAAATGTAGTTAAGGTTTAGGACTAAATAATATTACATTCATGCGTGAAATGGTGATTGGAGGTGATTTTTTAAATTATTATTTTAATGCACGTACGTATAACAAAGATTAGTAGTTTGATGTCCGTTACAAAGATAGTAAAATAGTAAGTAGGTACCTATTGAATGTTTATAATTGTAGTACCTACCGACATAACATAGTTCAACCTACAATTTTAAATTAAAAGATCCGCCACAAAGTAACGAATACGGATAGAGATGTTTTTAAAGTCGTATACAATTACGGTTACAGACGGATATATGGCAAATCACTAAGTTTTAGTTCATTGTAAAACAAAATAAAAATCTATATTTTTAAGATTGATTTTTTTGCTGTCCGTACCCGAGTTATTTTATTAAGAGTATAAAGAAAAAATGAATCTAACTTTGCATTACCTTAGGTATATTATCCTGGCAGGTAAAAACTTATGGCCACCGTGAGTTAAAGCGACATCACATAACAATTGTGTTTTGCTAAAACAATTATAATACTAGATTTATTTTTTACTGAAATCTAAACATTGCCTATTAACACTAGCTGTATCCGACAACTGTGGGATTGCAATTGTTATGGTGCTGTCTATCAAAGAAAAATAACAACTCATTAATATTCATGAGAAACGGATATTACCTAGAGGTGAAAAAAACCATTATAGTACCATTTCTTCTAGTTAATAGTCCTACTAGTGCTGGATTAATTTAAAAATTATAACAATTTCAATTTATATTTATTACCTCTTGTAACATAATAAAAGTTGCTTCGAAGACTTGATTTTGAGAACTACGGCACCTTTATAATTTAACAGAGATACGTACACTTCTTATTCAGTATTCTTTTGGAGAGCCTGAATCACCGACCGTATAACTTAATTTTTTTATAAATGAGAATGAGATTGTGTTTGTTACACTTTCAAAACTTAACTACTTAATCGAACATTATGAGATTGCAAACTAGTTGTCAGGGGTAGGTAAGGCTGGCACGCCGTTATCGTTAGACACGTTATGGAGAATTGGCTCAAGAGGCACCACGGGACCACTGGGACGGGTGATCACTGGAAAAGGATGCTTCGGGGATCACCTGTGTCTGATCCGCAAGGAGCCAACGCCTTGTTGCCGCCACTACGACGGATGGCGCTACGGAGCGCGGACGCCCTTCGGAGCAGGAAGGGAACATCCGGGTGCCCCCACAGGAGGGGTCTTCTATAAGCCGTACATGGCTTGAGGTACGTCTGGGTACCAGGGCTTGCCTTTCTAGGGTATACCTGGTTCCCCGGCTACTGGTACCTGGAGACGGCGTGCGGTTTTTGGAGGTTCGAGTCCGACAAAATCACCCCCTGGTGGGTGGTATCCGAGGAAGTTCCGCACAGAAAAAAAAGGGTAGGTAATGCGCAGGCCTGGGGGTGACAGGTGAGGCCATCTGTCATCCTAGCAGAAGCACGCTGGGGTAGGTGGCGGCTATTACTATACTCTGTGGGTGGAGGCGCGACGCGCTACGGAGCGGGAAGGGAACAGCGGGGCTCCTACACAGAAGGGGGTCACCTATAATCTACAGATGTCTCGAGATACGTCGGGATACCAGGGCTTCCCTTTCTAGGGTTTACCTGGTTCCCCGGCTACTGGTACCTAGAGACAGCGTGCGGTTTTTAGTCGGTTCGAGTCTGACATAACCACACCACTGGTGGGTGGTATCCGGGGGGAGTTCTGCACAGAAAAAAGGGGTAGGTAGTAAAAAGGACACAAGATATGTAGAAGAAAGTATTGTTCTTGAAGTTTACCTGAACTGATACGGAGAACATAATATAATAACCTGGTTAACTCAATTATATTTTCGCCGTTCGCCAACCTACTTGTGTAAAAAAAGCGACAAAATACTGCTTTGTTGCCGTTGTTTTCTCGCTTTGATTTACGACTATTTACGTCAGACAGGTCTTTTAAAGTCGTGGACGACGGGTCTTGTGTCCGTCCAACACAAAGCTTACAGGATCAGTACTCATTAATAGTTCGGTATTTGTGCATTAGATTATATTAAAGTTATTCCTTGTTCGTGGAAGTCGTCAAACTCATCTATATGTATTCGATTTTTATGTATTTTACGATTAGGTGAATAGCAACCCTAACCACTCAACTGATTTTGGTTTTCTTCCACCAAGTCTTTAGCTAAACATCTTCTGTACTTCTACATTTATTTTAACCAACGCCACAATAAATTGTACAAATAAAACACTTCAAAATATATTTTAAGCGTCATTTATTTGTTGCATAAAAAACAATAAATATTATTCTACTTATGATAGAACAAACATGTACAACACACTGAAAAATAAAGATAATAAGACGTACGCTCATTTCATTCAATTTGTAATTAATTACTACCTTATTTAAATGCACGACAGTGTCACATGGGCCACTGAACATCAATATTCTTAGGTACAATGAATACCGATTTATTGAAGATACACAGTAGCATAAAGACTATGCAATTAATGATTTAAGATATGAATTATTTATACAAACTTTAAAAAGATTTGTACTGCAGGGAATATTTGTACTAAGGCCATAGATATATTCACTTTAATCTTTTTTTTTTTATTTAATAGTGCAGTGCTGTAAAATTAAGGAAGATCTATCTTGTCCTGGAGGTTCTCTTTCAAAGGAACTAGCCCTGGAAATGGATGAATGGGGAAAATTAAGAAAACATGAATGGGTAACAAAAATTATAATAAGTGGCTACTTATATGGCGCCATCACCTCGACAGAAATCGATAGGTACGTCTATCTTTTTTGTGATATTTTATTATCATATATTACTCAATGTGCCAATGAAGTGGCTTTCTCAAGTTTCTCCAAACGTTAAGTAAATTTTGTTGCTGACTGTACCATAAGCTAGTCAGGCATAATGAAAATATTTACATAAGTTTTAATGTTTCTATTGCAGATTGAAGCCGGTCGAGTTCGCCTTGGGATTGCGTCAGCTTCTCGGAGTTGGTCTTCTGCACTTCGGCAGGTACTTTATTGGTGTAGTCTTCGGCCGCCATCGCTTGCTCCAGTTTAGTGATCGTCTGTGATAGGTTCTCTTTCTTCTTCTCTAGCTTTGTTATCTCTTTTTGGGGATCGATGAGACCCTGCGGTAGAAAAGAATATAATCATGGTAAGCGATGTCTAAATTTCTATGAGACGGGTCAATTGATGTTGTAAATAAAAAAAAATCCTACGCAGTTTCTTTCCTTTCTTTTTCTTTTTTTTTTTTTAAGACAACTCCTGCACTAGGAATATATCATGTATCGCTGGGGACTTGAAAAACATACATGAAACAGGCACAAAGAACATCCAGACTTAGAACAACAATTTGTGGATCACACAAAGTGTTGTCCCTTGTGGTGATCGAACACACAACACTCAGCTCAGCAGGAAGCGGCGAGGTGACCGCTTAAACCACTACGCCATCTGTGCAATCAATCACCGGTTTTTATTCGTATTTATTGTGATACTAATTTTGTGTTCATTATAGTGACTGCAATGGGAAAGGCCTATGTCCAGCAGTGGACTGCGACAGGCTGATGATGATGATAGTGACTAGTAGTCACTCGTTAGATAAGTTAGAAGCAAGGGCAGTTTAATCTATAACTCTGATTACAAAATTAATAAATGATTAATTTCCTCTGACTGATTGTTCCGGGGATTAACATAATTAAACAAACAATATTTCATTACTCTATAATGGACCCGAAAACTCCAACTAAAGTTTATGGAATTATGTGACAGTCAAATGGTCTTTCCCAGTACCACATAGAATTAGTAAATTAGTAAAAAAAAGAACCTACTTTTAATAATAAGTGTACTTCAATCTTGTCCGACACCGTCAGTATGGAACATCCACTGGGAGGCTCCTCATCCGAAAGCTCACTATTCGCCAATGCCTGCATACTTCTAAACAGGCTCTTTAGTTCCTCCACCTTCAGGTCCTGAGATAGGACGAGATGGACGGTGGTCTTCTGTTTGTTCACCAAGTTGTATTCCGTGCGGGTAGAACGGATGAGATGCACCATTTTAAGGACAGTGTCTACATCTGATTCTAGTTCTTCTGAACGCCAGGGTGTGTCAGCATCCTAAGGAATAATGAGAGATGACTATTAAGGCTGTAATTTCCTATTATTATTGTTTTAATTGCCTGCGGTTTCACTCGCCATAATTTCGAATTTTGCCTATTACCAATAGAATATATATATATATTTTCAATCACAACTCCCGCACTAGGAATAAATCCTGATTCGCGGGGGCCTTTACAAACATACGTGAAACAGACGCAAAGAACAACTAGACTCAGAACAACAATTTGTGGATCACACAAAGTGATGTCTCATGTGGGGATCGAACCCACAACACTTAGCGCAGTAGGAAGCGGCGTGGCGACCGCTTAAACCACTACGCCATCCGTGCAGTCATTTATTTCAGCAATAGTGATTAGTATACCTACAGTTGGGTTGTGTTGTTGGGTTGTCTTTTCACCTTTTAGTCCTTAATAACGGACATACTAGCACACATCAAAACAATGTTGTGGTATATTTAATAGTGCCATTGTATCTACTTGTGAATTGCAAAAGAGTGGCCATGAGTTTGTTTGCCCTTTCTTCTCATAAGACTCAACCCCTTGGAAACGGGCGGTTGTAGATCGGCACAGGCATATCATAGATTTTGTATGGGTTTGATTTTTGTTACATTTATTTGGTTAGTATTTGACAAAACAGAGATCGTTGCTTTTGTGTGTGTTGATCTATGACTTTAGAGTCTACATGGAAGACGATTTCAAACAATTTTGGTAATTTTATGAAATAAAGAAAGTTTGCGTTTGAGTTAAAATTCACACATTTCCCTTACCGTGGGGTAGTTTGCGATACATATAGAGGGACAGGAGTTGTCCTTTCTCGGTAGACGCTGGAACAGTTCTTCAGTGACGAAAGGCATGAAGGGGCTCAGCAATTTCAGCGCGTACTCCAGCGCTGTGTACAGAGTACGGCGCGCCGCTGTCTTCTGAGCTTCTGTCCCACTGGCGAACACGGGCTTCAAACATTCCTGTAATAATATATAATCAACTTAAATGAAAACTCCTAAAAAGGCCGTACACAAACTGAAATTATATCATCCAAGTAAACAATAATATTCATTAAAAATGTTCATAAAATGAAAACTACTAGGCCTAACTATGTTAAATTTTTATGGGACCAAATGGCGACTATTCCGCATCAAACTAAAGAAGAATCACGTAAATCGGATCATAAATCTCAGAGTAATCGGTGTATATACATAAAAAAAAACAATCGAATTGAGAACCTCATCCCTTTTGAAGTCGGTTAAAAAGAAACCATTATTACATGTAGTTCTAACAAGCATTCTCAACACCTGAGTAGCTGAGAAAGTGTGTTAAAGATCGTTTTTTTCTCTGTATATTAAGACGCAAAGAAAACTCTTTGTATTTATATATTGTTGTAAATATGGTTTACAGATTAAGCATATCATATTTTGAATTCATAGTGAACTACAACTAAACAATATGTGATATAAAGTAAACAGTTATTATCAGTTTTCGAGATTTACGTTAATTTGTTTGTATCTTAAGTATTCAGATATCGAGGTACTACGAACTGTGTTCTAACTAGAGATGCCACGAATATTCGGCAACTATTCGGCAATTAGCCTATTCGGTCATTTTTTTTCACTCTTTGGTATTCGGCCGAATATTTCGAACTATTCGGCCAAACACCGAATAGTAAATCACATCAACAATCAAATCACTCACAAAGATTTTTATTTTACCAATAACTTATCATAATTATACTTGAAGCAATTTTGCAGCATTTGTTGATAGGAAACGATCGCGGTTTTTCTTATAAATTATACCTACTTTGGAAAATAGCCGCTCACTGTATATATCCCGGATGATAAATAAATCTTAGTAAATTCTGTTATATTAGGATATTGTTTTGCATTTGCTGAACATTTTACTGATTCAGGTTTAAAACCGTGAAAGGTACTAAGTGTGGCGAGTCTCGGCCAAGAGACTCGCCTAATATTAGTTATTTGGTATTCGGCCAAATCACTATTCGTGGCATCTCTAGTTCTAACAAGATCACAAATACTTTCAAATTGGATTCCAACACTATAAGCCAGAGATCAAAGCATTTTTTGATTAGAAATGACGTGAAGCGTCCAAAACAAAAAAAAAAAGACTTTGAGGCGGTGTTTTTTTTTTATTAATAATTTGTAAACATACTTATAAACGCTTATACAGCGGGTAGAACTGTGCAGAAAGGTCAGTTAGATTTACAAAATTATTAATAATAATTGAAACTTACCAAATAAACATCACAAAGGTCGTAGAGCCAGAGATTGTAACAGTGAGTGGTGGCCGACGGGAACTCGTACGAGGCGAAGCCGGCGTTCACTTTGTTCACCGCCAGGGCGAGACGGGACAGCATCCAGCGGTCCATTGCTGATAGGTCCGCTGGTAAACTGGTACTGTGCACCTGGTTAATAATATCAACTATTAATGTAGGCTATGCTCCATCACTTTTTAGATGTTATGATTCTAATCTCTGTGAGTCTTGTTTAACAGAAAGCTTTTTAATTAGCATTAACCCTTTAAACGATCGACTTGAAAATTAATTTTGTTTGGTTGTATGTCAGAATTAATGTTTGTTTTATTTTATTTACAAAAATGCTGTGTACATATAAAAGCTATGTATATACCAGATGAGGCTTAATTATATTCGAACACGTGTCTGTGTCATGGCAACGTAACATATACACATCTGAGATGTTCAAATTTACAAAAAATATAGTATAGTAATTAATCAGCTACTTTATAAGCAAATAGTAATTAAAAACATTGTCCCGAACATTTTATTTTATTACAAGTTGTTGGTACGATTTTTGCCCAAGTACTGTTAAAGATTTGTAGCCATCATTCCTTCAGTTTGTTGGAAATTAGAATCTATTTCGAAATTGGTTGTTGATTGAAAAACAACTATTTGCTTATAGACAGAAAATCCCGCGTATATTCTGATATGATTCTGAATGACTATCTGTGTTCTTTGATTTAAAACAGAATCCATTTATCGTTGGTGGGTTTATTGGTTTATGTTTTTTTTAGAATCTTTTAACCTAAATCCCTAAATTAAATGCTACAATTTGTTTTACATTTTTTAACTGTTGTCTAGTGACGAGAGAACAAAGGGCCTAAGGCGAGTTTATTTCACATTAACTGTAAAATTAAATTAAAATTTCTGGTAAAGATTTCTGTGCAATTGCAACGCCAAACGCGGTCACCGTGACGAAGAAAAACCGTGAAAAAGACAACTCCCCCGCAGTAGAAATATATCCTATGTCGTAGGGACTTTACAAAAATACATGAAACGGACACAAAGAACACCCAGACTCAGAACAACAATTTGTGGGTCACACAAAGTGTCGTCCCATGTGGGGGTTTGAACCCACAACATTCGGCGTAGTAGTAAGCGGCGTGGTGACCGCTTAAACCACTACGCCATCCGTGCAGTCTACATTAATAAACTCAGACTAGGCCCTCAAAAATAAAACTTAAGTGGTTTTTCTTACTAAATACAAACCTCATAAGTGGTGTCCTTGGGGAAGTACATGAGTGCGAACTTGGTGGCATTCCATAGTTTGTTGCAGAAGAACCGGTACCCTTGCACGCGTAAAATGTCCAGATTTAAGTCACGACCTTGTGTCATGGCGCAGAGGGCAAACCTAAACCCAAAATGTTACATTACAACTCAAATTAATAACAGTTTAGTGACTTTATATCCAAAGAACCATTCTATCGGTCAGAGATTCGATTCGCACACAGTAAAAAAAAATGCAGACGTGTGAGCTTGCATATCACTTTCAGTACTGTCTATCATCAATTAACAAATCATGCAGAAGAACTATTTAAAGATTTCAAAATGTTTTTCTAATCAAAAGTGACTCACATACCTAACAAATAGATCGATACTAATATTTGAAATGCGAAGGTGTCTGTCTGTCTGTTACTCTTCACGCTTAAACCGCTAAACCGAATAAGATGAAAATTGGTATAGACATAGTTAGAGCCCCGGGAAAGAACATAGGATTTATAGGATAGATTTTATCCCAGAAATCATCCTTTAAGAGGGTAAAAAGGGGGATGGAAGTTTGGGATCAATAACCGCTGATCCGATTTAGATAAAATTTGATATGGAGACAGTTTGATTTTTGAGTAAGGACATAGGCTACTATTTACTGTGATAACCGACATACACGCGGGCAGAGCCGCGCGCAAAAGCTAGTTTCATTTTAATAAGTTTGTTTACACATGTCTCTTGAGTTGCCAGTGACCATGGGCAGCGGTAATCACTTACCATCAGGTGACCCACCTACTCGTTTGCTCCCTAAACCATAAATAAGGTCATGTATTTATTTACATTAACATGAATTATTTACAAAAGAGATCTCTGTCTTACCTAAGAGCATCAGTTCCACATTCCGGTATGCCATTAGGATAGTCCTGCTTCTGCCCCTGCTTAGCCTTCTCGATCTCCTTAGAGTCAAGATTGGAGTCAGACAACTGTTCGTGTAGTTGTTCCAGCGTGACTCCAGTGACGACGTCCACTGGGTCGATGACGTTGCCCAGAGATTTAGACATTTTGCGGCCGTGAGCATCTCTTACCATGGGGTGAAGGTAGATCTCTCTGAGGATGAAAAGGAATAATTATAATAGGTAATCGATCTCGGCGACTAAAATTAATATCGTTTGCGCGATTTAGGACGATTTAGTAGTGATATCTGATTATAGATGGCGTTAGGTAAGCTATTATATCACAGTAGAGTAATTGATATGAATCTAGGCATCATCACACACTCGGGATTAAAGTAATTCCTGGCTAAAAAACTGCAATTTTTGCGATATGAACTTTCAAGACAAAATAGGTAATATCACAGAAAATCCTTACTTGAAAGGCAGTTTTCCCATTAACCGCTGTCCAAAGAAGACCATCCTGGCGACCCAGAAGAACAGGATGTCGTGACCGGTTTCCAAGAGTGTGCCAGGGTAGAATGCCTGCCAAAAGATACAATTTAAAAAATAATGTTAGTTGTTTTCTTTAGTTGTTATTAAAAACAGTGTAAATTATTATTTTACAAATTTTTTCGAGTCGAGTCAGCCTATTAGGGCCGAACCTTGGCACATAATATAAATTAATTTACTTCTTTATAGGTATATACACTTTATACAGAGTACTATTTCAGTTTAAATGACTAAACAGTCTCGTACTAAGTTTTACAGTTTAAGTGACATCGTTTAAAATCAAGTCGAACTGTTGCAATTTTTTTTATGGTATAAGGAAGCAAACGGGCAGACGGGTCACGTAATAGTAAGCAACTGCCGGCGTTCATGGACACCTGCAACTCAAAAGTCACAGATGCGTTGCTGCCCTTGGAGTCCCTACCGCTCGAGTTAGTGAGGGGGGATTTGGGCTCCGGTAGCCTCACTCACTCAGTGAAAGGCAACGAAGGAATTGCTTAAGACCGGTTTTCTGTGAGGCCGTGGTATCATCAGGTCCGTGTGGTGAAGGATTAAGAATACGGAATGTCACCACCCCTATTCATCCCGTGGGTGTCGTAAGAGCCGACTAAGGGAGCAAACTACGCAGGACGACAGCACTGCTAAGAGAAGGAAAACTTGAAACAAACCCTATACCAACCCGTTTGGCCAGCGTGGTATAGTAGACCAAAACCTCCTTTCTAAGGAGAGGCCTATGTCCGGCAGTGGACTGTTATAGGTATCACTCCGGTCGAGCCGGCCCATTCGTGCAGAAGCATGGCTCTCCCACGCTCAATAGAAAATGCGTGGTCAGTTATAATTTAATATAAACATAAAGTAACCTGTAAGTCTTCAGTTTGATCCGGCCACCCGAAGATCGCGAACGGGAACAAACCTGAACTAAACCAGGTATCTAGGACGTCTTCATCTCTTTGTAGCGTAACATCTTCGGCAGGCACGCTGTACTTAGCAGCCGCTTTTGCTAGGGCTTCTTCTTCTGTGTGAGCTGATACCCACAGCTCCTGTTCCTTATTCTAAAATGAAATAAAAAGTTATAGAAAATGAATAGAGAGATCTAGAATCTAGATAAACCCAGTTGTTAAAATAGAAGGTTTTTTTCTAGACTTATTGACTGGATTTTTCAAAATTTTAAGTATCACCTTCATAATGTAGTTCGGAAAAACAAATTGTAGCTAATAATTTATTAAATATTATACGACAAATAAAAAAAGGTCCCTTTAAGACCGATTCCCGCAGAATATTAAATTCAAGAAGACTAAAAAATAGGTTAATAAAATCACCCCTATTCCGACATTACTTTTAACAGAAGGTACAGATGTATTTTTATTAAATATTGTTGTGTTGCAGGAGTACACTGGTACACATGGTACACAAAACAAAAAATATTTATATACATAATGTGGGTAGTTACATAAAAATGAACTTCTATTTTGTAACATCTATATGTATTAGCGTGTGCAATAAAAAAAACACACTTTAATATGCAAAATAAAATGCAGGAAGCAAATAAACGCAGTATCTGTGCTTTACTATAACGCTTTATGCTGCACCCAAACCAATGCCCGACATAGGAAGCAGGAAGTGTAACCGGTCTTGTAGACGGTTACGATGCTCATTTGAAATTGATTATTCAGAAGTCGCTCGTCCTATTGTTTAATGGTACTACATTAATATTACAATAATAATAATAGCTTTACACATCTCACACACGACAGTCTGATCCCAAACTAGACGACCCTGGGCTATGGTAATCACATTGCTGATAAACATACTTAAATATTTCTAAATACATCCATATTATAAATAAATTACACCCAGACACAGTACAACTAAGCGTACTCGTCACACAATTATTTGTCCTAGTTGGGAATCGTACTCACAATCTTTGGCTTAGCAGTTAGAGTCACTAGACATTGCTCTCCTTATGTCATCTCTATTAAGAATCTTTTATCATTAAATTAATATACTCTGGACGATTAAAATGTTTGAAATACGGGCTCTTAATTTTTACAGTATTTTTAGTTATGCTAATTTTGTTGAAATAAATTAAACAACGCAATTTTTCGAGCCTATCTACCAGTCGTGAGTTTGTTGCCAACAGCTACTGTTGGGCGTGAGAGTTCTGCGTTGTGGATGCTGTGGTGATCATACCATACATGTACACAGGCATTGTCTACCCTGGGGCTGGTGCTCTCTGATCATTACAACGTACAGTACGCGTTTTATTGCATAACTAGCTGAGACCATGCACATAACTAGCGATTCAGAAAAGATGTTACGTGTTACAAGTATAAAAAAAGTAACGAATAATTAACAAAGTTTATAATAATGATGTTATGATTTTTTGTGAGGTTTATTGGTACGGGACGAACGACTTCCACAAAAAAGTATTGACTTATTGTTACATCGTCAACAATAGCTAGAAAAAAGGCGCTATACGTCTCCCACGTCTGTTTATTGTTTACCATAATATCAAGTAGTGTAAAGCACAAAGTTTACTAATTAATATATGAAAATAAGTTCACTCTATCGTCCGTTTTCCTGGGAATTTAATGCTATATCTAATGTGTCATAAATCTAAAAAGGCTTATGGCCTAAAGGACTATGAGAAGGCCTTTGACTCGATCGAGATCTGGTTCGTTCTGGAGTCCCTGCAGCGTTGCCAAGTAGTTTGGCGATACATCCAAGTGATGAAATGTCTCTACGAAGCCGCCACCATGTCCGTCCAAGTACAAAATCAGCAAACAAGGCCCATACCGTTGCATCGAGGAGTGAGACAAGGGGACGTTATTTCCCCGAAAAAGTTCACAAATGTAATCGAGGACATGTTCAAGACGCTGCACTGGAAAGGGCGTATCATCAATATCAATGGCGAATACATTCCTCACTTGCGATTTGAAGACGATATTGTCATCATGGCAGGTACGCTGCAGGACTTACAACAGATGCTGAGTGACCTAGCTGACTCTTCTGTACACATCGGCCTACGGATGAACTTGGATATAACCCAAGGTCATGTTTAACGAGCATGTACTACCGGAACCGATCGCGGTACACGGTGCCGTTCTCGAAGTTGTTCAAAGTTATGTGTACCTCAGGCAGGCAGACATTGCAATTAGGTAGAAACAACTTCGAGGACGAGGTTCGGTTACGTCGAGTCTTTTTATCGTCGATCCTACAGTGCCTTAAGACGAAAGTATTCAATGAGTGCGTCCTACACGTCATGACATACGGAGCCCAAACGTGAACACTTACGGTATGGCTAGTCCACAAGTTTAAGCTCGCTAGGCGTGCTATGGAAAGGGCAATGCTCGGCGTTTCTCAAAGGGATCACATCAGGAATGAGGTGATCTGGCAGAGAACCAAGGTTGCCGACATAGCCTACCGGATTAGGAAGCCGAAGTGGCTGTGGGCTGGTCATATTAGCCGCAGAACCGATAACCGTTGGGGAAAACGAGTTCTTGAGTGGAGACCGCGTCTCGGCAAACGTAGTGTAGGACGCCCACAGGCCAGGTGGAGTGACTATTTGCGCAAGATGGCTGGCAGGCGCTGGATGCGAGAAGCCCAAAATCGATTTAAGTGGCGTGCAATGGGAGAGGCCTATGTTCAGCAGTGGACTGCGAAAGGCCGATAATAAAATATAAAAATAAGAATAAAATATGTAACAATATTTGCATAACAAAACACACTAGACATGCAAACAAAAGTGAGCGAGAAGCGACATGCGCGTGTAGTCCCACCGACATACAGTAGCGGGGCGAGGCGCGGGGGGAGGCGCGCGGGCGCGCACGCGGTGGCTCTTCTTGCGGCCGGTGCGCGTGCGCCGCCGCCGCGGGGCCAGCTGCTGGCGCGCCGCGCCCGACCCGTCCACCTTGTTATAATTCAAAATCGATTGTATTCTAAACCTTTTAGTCGATTTTTTATCCTTTAGTTTCTTTTGGTCTCTCTCTAATCTGTTAGTGTAGTATTACTTTGGCCCTAAGAGATTAAGTTAACGGATAGACATGACGAGGTTGTTTAATACGTCACTTATAGGATACATTCTGTATCTAACCATGAACTATCAAACCCATTGAATTGAGTTAAATTATTATTAACCTTAATGTTTAAACTGTAATTAAACTTTACTTTCGACTACCTTTAACTTTTTGTAATCAATATTGTCTATAGCTGTCCCACAGTAAAAAATCTTATATTTGATAATACACGTACACAGACAAAGGAATATTTCTTACCTCTTGTTCAGCCAAAGTAACCCTGTACGCTGGAATCCTGTGCCCCCACCACAGCTGCCTAGAAATGCACCAGTCGCGAATATTCTCCATCCAATGGTACCAAATCTTCTCGTGAACATCTGGGATGATCTTCAGTTCACCGGTCTTAACGGCTTTGATAGCTTCTGAAGCCATTTTGTCGCATTTTATATACCTATAACACAACACAGAAGGAATAAGTAATAGCTCATAGGTAAGATAAGATAAGCAATAACTGCAGGCAGTTACATACTTTTTTTTAACTCGAATCGGTTATCGTCGGTACTTAATAAACCTTATAACAATACAGTATGGTCCTTTTAAAGGTTATCTATAGTGTCATCAACAGCCTATTATAGTCCACTGCTGGACATAGGCCTCTCCTTAGAAAGAAGGTTTTGGCCTACTATACCACGCTGGCCAAACGGGTCGGTATAGGTTTTTTTTTCAAGCTTTCCTTCTCTTTGTAGTGCTGTTGTCCTGCGTGGTTTGAACCCTTAGTCGACTCTTACGACACGCACGGGATGTATAGGGGTATAGTGTAAAGCTTAGAATTTTCCCATTCAGACTAATTAAAAGTAATAATAATAGTTCCCAGAAATAATTCTTAATAATTAATACAGCGGCCAGGACTTATTACAATTGTTTCCGATAAAAAATTCGTAACGAAGTGAAATTCTAAAATATCTATTACTTACCACTGAGGCTTCAGTAGGGGCTCAACAACATCCTTCGACCGGCTACACAGTGGCACAACCATTGGGTTTTCTTTGGTCTCCTTGTAAAGTTTCAACTCCTCTAATTTTTTGATAATGTTGCGACGGACGTCGAAGCGTTTCATACCCTGTGGATAAAAATATGACAATTAACAATGTCTGATAATATGCTATAGTTATCATAATTTACAACTGATTTAACATCAAGTCAAGAAAAACTACGTATTGTTAATCAACATCAATTGGGCAATGAAAGTTCTCACATTGTTTAGTTCATCCTAAGAACCTAGCCAGGTGAGAGGATTTAAATATAATAAATTTATAATTTTTATCTATGTATACATAACAGAAAATTATGTTTATATTTACTGCAAACGGTCCGCAGTTGTCCAACATTTTGCCCTCATCGTCCAATATATTAATAAACGGTAGATTGTGTCGTTTGCCGATCTCGTAGTCATTCGGGTCATGCGCAGGAGTTATTTTTACAGCACCTGTAGGTAACAATAATGAATTTTAAATTGATCATGTGTTAAAGATGATATGGAATATTCAGGAAGTGAAATTTAGATAAGGAATGAAGATTAATATAAAAAAATCATGAAATTATCAATAAGACCAGAATGAGCAACAGAATTAAATTTGAATTGTACCTTTTTTAATTTATATAATAAAAAAAAACCAGGCAAATGCGAGTCGGATTCGCCCACCAAGGGTTCGGTACAAATTTGCAAGTTCATTTACAGGATTTTATTATAAATATATAGTTTTCAGATTTTTTCCTATACTTGTAGTATAAGACGTTATTACTTGGCAAATTTCATAGTTTTAGGTCAACGGAAAATACCATATAAGTTTTTTGCGACATAAATGGCCGTATTTTTTTTACGTTAATTTAGAAGTTTGATTTTTTACAGCTTCAAGAGACTGTAGATCTGAGTATATTGTTTGAATATCAACTCGATATATCAAATACAATCGAATATATCTACGCGTTCCCGAGATAGAGTCTTAACAGACGGACGGACGGACGACAGTGATCCTATAAGGGTTCCGTTTTTTCCTTTTGAGGTACGGAACCCAAAATATTTAGCGTAAATTCCTCTATCTAGCGGGTATTTGAACGTAATCTGTAAAATAATTAAATTTAATGTTTGTTTATACTAACCAGTTCCGAAGCTCATGTCAACGTACTCATCAGCTATAACGGGTAGCTTCCTGTTCAAGATTGGATGCACTAGATTCTTGCCAATCAAGTGCTTGTACCTGAAAAATCATATTTTATACCGCTGACCGATTATAATACTCTAATATCGTGAAGACTTAAACTAAAGCACCTATTAACTATCTGTTCTTACACCCATTACTTTTTATAATTTTAATAATTTCGAATTTTCCTTATTAGTTGGTATACAAATAAAATCGACTAATACATGTTAGTCGAGTTGTAAAGATTTTATTGAGTCTACTTATCATTCTCATTATCAACTTAATTGATATTCGCTTCGGTCTGGAAGAGTATGGGTCATGTTCTTGATTTTTGTGACAAATAGAAATATATTTAGATAAAACACATGTTTCTAATTCTTATAACTACTAAACTAATAGTATCTCACAAAACTTAGGAATGAAATGATGAAAAAAATATACAGAGCTCATATCCTCCCCGGATCATCTCTGTATATTTTTTTCATTTCTTAATATACAACTCCCGCACTATGAATAAATCCTGTGTCGCTTGGGACTTTACAAACATACATGCAACGGACACAAAGGACACCTAGACTCAGAATAAAAATTTGTGGATCACACAAAGTGTTGTCAAATGTAGGAATCGAACCCACAACACACAGCGCAATAGAAAGCGGCGAGTTGACCGCTTAAACCACAACGCCATCCGTGCAGTCAACCATTCTTAGTTCTGATTTTTCCTTACGAAGTATGAAGGTTACCTGGCATCATTAGGGTGAACAGCCACAGCTACATCCCCAAGCATAGTTTCAACACGTGTGGTAGCCACAACAACTTCTTCATCAGAGTCCTCTGCCTTATAAGCGAAGTGGACTAGTACACCAAATTCCACCTACACAAGTAATATTAGGTTGTATTACAAGTCATTAAGATATTATTATAATCTAGAATAATACGGTGGTACATTTGTAACTTTCCTCCGAGCCTTTTTGCCAAACGTCGGCTTTAAGTCTATTACGATACGGTTGAACTTCGATTTTTCTCATGGAGCTATTGCCATTAGCCATCAGACCTCCACAACTCAAATAGGGATACGGATATCGGAGTTTTGTAGAAAGACTGTTATCGTTCTTCTTAGGACACCAACTACCCGTAGCGATTGCCACAGATATTCGTATGGCAACCGGGACTGACGGCGTATACTGCTCTTCGAGACACGGAGGGGTCTCAATGTGTTAAGAAATGGTCACCCATCTGTAGACTGACCTAGCTAGGATTGATTAAGTTTGTAATGTGTTAACCTACTCGGTTACCACTTAGCCACGAGCCAATCAGTACATTTGTAACTAATTACAAAATATGTGACTAATGCTTTATATAGGTAAGACGTTTTCAAAAACATGGACATACGAGTATGGATGCCTTATAAATGGTAAATTTCTTCAGTGTCGAATTCAATTTGTGGTGTCAACATTTCGACTTTCCAATTGAGCTATAACGACAACACTCCCTAGCACAAAAAGGGGTTGTGTCAGCTCCGACGCACGACTGGAGTTTACTCGTTAAGAACGATTCGGCTGCACACAAGTATACAAGTAATACACACAGATTTGAAAGGTGCACACGATAGGTTGCACACAAAAAACGTAACGAGGTCATTCGATCACTAAATTTTACTCTTCATATTTTTTCATACCGCCCGGTATGAAAAAATATGAAGAGTAAAATTTAGTCTTATATGAAAATTTATTCTTAAGGAGTAAACTCCAAAAAAACACAGTTATGTACAGTCCAACCATGAAAAGGTATCGACCGTCTTGATAATATGACAGTCCCGCTGTGTCATTTAATGCCTTTCTTATATATAACTTGAGAGTCGTATATGAAGGTCGTATACGACTTAAGTCTAGGATTCACGATGACTGCTATAAATAACTATAATAAACTCACCTTATGTTCATAACCCGGTATGCTCATCATAGTTCTACTAGTAATTTCTACTTTATCCACTTCGATATCCGATATCGCGCTCTTCAGTGTACACGACCAGTTAACTAGCCTATTGGCCCGGTAGATGTCACCATCATCGTGGAGGCGGATGAAGGCTTCGTTGACAGCGCGGCACATGGACGGGTCCATAGTGAAGCGGACGCGGGACCAGTCGTACGAAGAGCCAAGTGATCGAAGTTGTTCATAGATTCGACCACCTTTTCTGTAATTTCATTTAATTAAAATAAAGTGATCTACCCTATTCAATACATCTATCCACCTACTGGCAATAGCTGTCATGAGACCATAGTTATCAAGCCGAATGAGCTGGACATGTAAAAATGAATCACAGGAGTCCTCACAACACTCATTAGGTCAGCTTCAAAATGCAAGATTAATATTGTCTTCCAAACCACAATACGATGTTAATATATACAATTAAGTTCATCATCACCATCATCAACAGCCTTTAACAGTCCACTGCTGGACATAGGCCTCTCCTTAGAAAGGAAGTTTTAATTAAGTTAGGTTTTTTAAATAGTTAGATACAAGTCAAGCTAATAAAAGTGTATTAAAATGTTAAATTTATATCCAAAATGTTATCATCTGAATAAAATAATATCAAAGTAAAATACTCCTAAGAAAGGAGGTAAGGTAAATTCTCAGGAGAGGCCTGTGTCCAGCAGTGAACTATTAAAGATTTTGATGATGATGATGATTGATGATTACAATTTAGAACTCACAAGAAATTATATTACATATTACAAAAAGAAAAAGTGACGATAATGCAAAGAGATGACAGTCCGTGAGTTACTATCGTATACTGAACATATACTTTATATATACAGTATATCTAAAAATTGGTAATAACTATTTAGATAGAAAGACTACTATATAGAAAGTCTAAAATAATATAAATGATGAAAAGATCATTTTTGGAAGGTTGTCAACTCCCGGACTTTCAGATGAATGGAGGGAAAATATATAGACTGTTTTTTTTTTAAAGGCAGAAGTTACAGATGTATGAAGATATAGAGTTATTCATAATATTCACTCACTGTTCCTTCCAATCCCACACTCTTTTGATAAACTCTTCTCTACCCAGCTCATGACGCGTCTTTTTCTCTTCTCTCCACAATTTCTTCTCCACTACGACTTGTGTTGCAATACCGGCGTGATCACAGCCAGGATTCCAAAGAGTTGTGCGCCCGTTCATTCTATGTCAAAGATAAGGAATTAATATTGATAATGATGATAAATTAGGGTGCCATATTCGATGGTAGCTTTGTGACAGACCAATCACTTAGAGGCATCAGAATGAATTTTATGTGAAAAGAAACTTATGCAGACAATGTTTGACTAATTCCAACATTATTTTTTTAAATATTATTTTATTACAAACGTTATATCATAAAAAAATCAACAAAGAAATACAATACATCAAACATATTGTTTTACTTAACTTATTAGTTGATCACACACACAGAGTATAACATTTTTTTTTTGTTATTAAAAAGACAACGCCCGCATTAGGAATGTATCCTGTGTCGCCGGGAGACTTTACAAACATACATGAAACGGACACAAAGAACACCCAGACTCAGAATAACAATTAGTGGGTCACACAAAGTGTTGTCCCATGTGGGGTTTGAACCCACAACACTCGGCGTAGTAGGAAGCGGCGTGGCGACCGCTTAAACGACTACGCCATCCGTGCAGTTTGTCACAATTTACTAGGAAAATTTATCATGGATCTGAGCAAGACATTTAATATGGTACACATTGTTCTACTGAGGCAGTGTTCCCACAAGAGTTGTGAGTTTTTGTTACCTGTGCCACCTGGTGATAGCATCTTCAACAGCATTTGTGAGAGCATGGCCAAGATGCAGTGATCCTGTCACATTTGGAGGGGGGATCACCATTACAAACTTGCCTTTAGGGTTTTCTTCCAGGACGGATTTTCTCTGTTAAAAATAATTAAAACAATTACAACTAACTTTGAAACTATTGTGTTGCATAATATACAATAATATTGTAAGTTGAGATCTTTTTTTAAACAATAATTAACATTAATATTTAATTACAGGCTATGTGTCTATTAAGTTATAATTAAGTAATAAATGACAGTTCAAATATATTACGGTGTATAAAAAATTGTATTTACACAATTGTTGTTTTTTCAAGGGAACCGTTAATATAACATTTTTCAGGAGGGTATTATTGGTGATCTATTATTTGTAGAACTGAATACGGATAAGGGAGGTTTCGGCGAACCGTTCATCTGTGAAGTAAAATTTGTAAAACTGACTTTGGACAAAGGGTATTCTCGGTGAACTGTTCATCAGTGAATTATAATTTGTAGTACCGCCTTCAGACTTAGTGTTGTGTCAGCAAACAGTTTTTCGATGAAAGTTAATTACGATTCTGATCTTATTTTTAAGACCCTTGTTATTATTTAACTATCCTAATATGATACAGTATGTTTTCACCTTCATTATAGGTAAGTAATCATGAGCGAGGAACGGATGATGCAGATGATACAAGGCATGTACATAGAGATACATGTAAATAAACACACATCGAAATAAGCTGTGTCCGCTATTGACTTGTGTCCACCACTCCTAGCAGTTGTTAGCCAATTAGTTAAATGTACTACTAATGTATGATATAATGTTAATGAAATGTAACTAGACTGATTTGGTTTTATTGTCCACTAATGTGATGTTATTTAAATCTATACAAATAAATAAAATTGGAGTGTCTGTTTGTAATATAAAAATAACCGCTTTTTACTAAATGCATATGTATGTTTACACTGTACATATGCCAAAATCCAGCGTGGTATAGTAGGCCAAAACCTCCTTTCTCAGGAAAGGCTTATGTCCAGCAGTGGACTATTAAAGGCTGTTGATGATGATGCCAAAATAACATTTTTTACAATTTTTGTCTGTCTGTTTGTTCCGGGTAATCTCTGGAACGGCTGGACCGATTTTGACGGGACTTTTACTGGCAGATAGCTGATGACATAAGGAGTAACTTAGGCTACTTTTTTTAGACTAGCTTCGAACCGCGGCGTTGCCCGCGGTTATAACAACAAACGAGGGTAACACAGCGGGTCTCAGCTGGTACAAAATATAATGAGTACTTACTCCATATTCTGGTTTAAAGAAACCTTGCTTCTCCCACCAAGCATACCAGGCAGCTTCAACATATTTTGGACTGTATGCATCAGGCATAGGTCCTGCAATGTCCTTCTTGTCACCTGGTGCTGTGGCTGCAGTGTACACAGCACTCTCTTTTGCTTCTTTTACTTTTTTCTAAAACATTTCACACAAAAAGTTAGAGAAAAACATCTTTTTATCAGTCTTTGTGTTTTCTTTTTTCAAGCAGTACAATAGATTGTGTTTATTTATATATATATATATTTATGTATGTTAATCTAATAAGTATATTAATTAAAATACACATGTCTCATACAGTCATCTAATTCAAAACTAGGTAGTGTCTGTGTTGTTATAATCAGATTGCTCATAAACATACCTAATTATGTATATATTTTTAAACATGTACATTACTAAAATATATCCATTCACAGAATAAATGTTTGGGCCCTGGTTAACTCTAAAAAGCAAGAAAACAATTGTCTAACATCAGTAAGTTTTCTGTGAGACTTCTTTTTTTTATAAGTACACACCTTAATTAATCTCTGTGAGCCTGTGGTATCACTCGAATGAGCCAGCCCATATGTGCTGAAGCATGGTACTCCCATGATTATGAACATCTAATTATATGTACATATCTCAGATCAATTTAAATATTTTTAATTTTTTTATTTGTTTTTTAAGGATCATTATCTGAATTTACAGTGTATTTGTTTTATTTAAAGATAGTCGGAGACTTTGGCAACAGAAACGACTTTTAACTAAATAGTTGATGTTTATTTTTGTATCTCCCATAGGTAGAGTTTTTTTATGTTATTTACAAAATATATAAAAAAACTTTTATATCCATGATTTCAAATGAGTGGATGTTATACATTTCCAAAAATGATGCAACGTGTTAAACAATTGAAGTATTACTTTCACCTGTAGAAGCACTGTATTAACCTTAGAACAATGTACTACAGTAATAAATTGAATTTTGGAGGCCTTTATACTGTAGATACCAGTGAGATAAAGCCACCTTATATTATTTTCTGTTTTATATACAGAATCTTACCTCCGGTTTATCTTTCTGGACAGCTGGTGCAGCGCTCTTTTTTTCCAATTTAGCTTTCAATTTTTCTAACTTAGCAGCTTTTTCTGCTTCCTTTTTAAGTTGCTTAGCAGTCTTTTCTTGCGGCTGATCCCCAGTGGGATCGTTTTGTACGTCGTTATCAGTCATATTTCCGCAAAAAATAAATGTATTTAAATAATGAGCGATCGAAACCACATTTGCCAAATGTGATGTGGAAAATGCGAGTTGACAACTGACAACTCTGACAAGCCAATGTTACTAGCGTTTAGAAACGGGAGAATATTGGAATCGTTTCAAAAATGTCTGTTTAGTTGATTTCTGAACGATTCAATAATCGACTAAAAAAAACGCAAGCTGATCCTTGAACCAAAGAGGGCAACACTATACACTACGCCGCGCGCGGCCACGCCATTTTGTTTTTCGTTTCTTGCCGAACGCCATCGCGGTGTGCTCGCTAGTCGCCAAATTTTATTTGAACCTGCATAGTACTAGAATAGATTGAGTTCGTTTCATTTCATTTATTGACCCGTTTCATCAAGTCCAACATCATGTCGGATCGAGAGGTACTATATTTAAACATTGTTCACCACGTCTCGAGTAGCATTCCCGCCGCGTGTGTTTTATTTTATTGCCGTTTGTTCTATAATTATAGTTGAATTGTTTGCTTGGGCGATTACAGAGGAGTCGCTCTAGGACTCGCAACGGGTCTCGGGAGCCGGCACCGAAGCCCGCTGCTATGTCGCGAGGTCACAGCAGAAGCCGGTCTCGGACGCCGCCCCCGCCAAAAGCTTCTAGCAGAAAATACAGGAGCCCGTAAGTTCAGCTTCTAGAATGTTTTACTAATGTTTATTTGTTTTTGTATGCTATTTATGATGATGTAGCTTGATATCTACTTGAAGTAATAATTTTGTCTTCTGTTATAACCTCGCTTTCAAGGGTATCGCCTGCGTATTGCGCAATGATGTTTCGCTAAACACAAACATACCATTCACGCCGAAGGTTTACACCGTGGTATTTTTTGCTAAGTAAACTGGTTTTAGTGTTATTCACCATAACACCATTGTATAATCAATAATGTTTGTATTAACAGTTCGATATAACGGAATATCGTAGCAACAGTTTTATCAATACGTGCCGTGATAAGAGACCTCGTATTGAAATGCAATAAGCAATTAATTACTGAATTTTAATTTTACTTCTTTATACTTAAACTTTATGAAACATTTTGCATAAATTTACGATAAGGCATTTAATTTATCACTTGAGTTTAACATAGTGATTAATTTAGAATAAACTTCTTTAGTAACATGAGTACACATTTCAATTACCATTATTTTGATTAATGAAATAGGCACCCAGCCCAACAATGCCTAGCAATGTTTCTAAGTCATCAATAAGTAACATATCAATTATTTAAAGTTATGGGGAAGCGTTAATGGAGATTTTTTATTTTTTGTGTTTAATAAAAATATGATGAGACTTGCACCTTATCAAATTTTTTCTTCCTCTGAGCCTTTTTCACCAAAATAGGTTGGGGTCGGCTTTGTCTTCTATGATATGGCTAAACTTCGATTTTTTTATTCACATTTATTTTCTCAACTACAACTATTTGCTTCAGAAATAAGAATATTGTTACCAAGCTCAGATCTATTTATTTACAACACAAGTACATAGCTGATTTCAATTTGAATTCCAATTGCAATTCCATAGCATTTGTTGATGTCATTCATGATTTAATTGTTTTAGAATTGTCATACTAAAAAGTTAAAGGTAAACAAACAATTTCCAGAAAAACTAAATTGTTTATTCAATTTGTTAGTGTTGGCTAGCTGCCTATTTCAAATTTTATAATTTCACTTTTACAACTCAGTATAGAATTTCATACATAGTGCAATGTAAGATACAGAATCTTTAAAAAGACTAGGCTAGTTTTTGTTTGTTTACCAAAGAAACAAGGCCTTGTTACAAGTATTGAATATGTTCAATTTTAGGTTATTAGTGAATGTATAAAATTGCGGAAAATTGGTTTTTGTTTTAACAAACAAATGTTTGCAAAAACAAGTTTGTTTCTGATCCAACTCAGTACAGAAATTAAACATTAATTAGCATTTCCTTTAATAATTAACAAATCGTTAAAGCATAAGAAAACAAATGAAACCTTTGATTGATGTTTACTAGATGTGAATTCATCTTGCATCTAATTAAAAACTGGAGTCACCAAATACTGTTCCAATATAAATTTCAAAGTATTATGGCTTCAACAGTGTAATTTTGTTTTATACATATCACTGCCGAATAATCTAACATACTTACACAAAAACATGAAGATTAAACTTTGTGATTTCTTTAACATTGTACATTATGACACCACAAAATGCTAATTGTGACATTCACAACTGTCACCTTGTAACTTGAACTTCCGTTATGTAGCTTACTAGCCTTTCCTGCTCATTGTAAACATTAAGTAAATAAAATTAAAAATTCACGGCATTAGCAATATCACTATTAATTTTTAATTTTTTTAACTATATCTAAGTTTTATTTTGTATACTACTTGACTTGACTTTTTGCAGATTTTCCAATATATGAGTTAAGTTCATACTTTCTTGTTTACACAATTGCCTCTGTAATACTAACAGTGATAAGTTATTATACCCCAGGGTATATACTATGTTTATTTTCGGGAATTAGTTTTCGAAATTTCGGCACTATTGCAAGCGGCATGATCATGATAAATATGCGCCATGGACATGGCATGGATAAACTGAACTCGTTAATTTAAACAACAATTCATTTTAACTTACAAATGAGAATTACAATGGTAGATTAAATCAATACTACTACTAGTTATGAGGACTTGGTGAGTTGTTTATTTCTGTGATATCCAGAAAATGATAGTCCGTAATATATTTCTTTCTGGACCTACTCTACAAATTATTTGCTGACACTTAATTAACATTGCTGAACCAACATCCGGCTATAAAGAATGCATTAAAACAGTTTTAACTGATAAGGCAGACTCTCGATCTTTCAAAATAGGCCAACTATCCTTTGATACCTTATATATAATACGTGTATGACAGCTGTGAGCTCGAAAGTTGATATGCACTGAATTGAGACCGAACTTTTATAACGAGAATTGTCCTTCTGGTCCATTGTTCAAATATTATGTTTGGATTATTGTTTTATCATTTTCAAAGCAAGGCAAAGCTTGCATTATAGTAAAAAGATTGCTGATAAATATGTGTACTTATTTACATTTAAATTCATGTTTGTTATGTCATGCGGATACGGATACAATGCAAAGATTGGGATGGATTCTTTAATTATAAAAAATATACATTAATTTTACACAAAATACGAAGCTTCTAAAGCTTACTTTCCCAAAACCCCTAGCAGAAAACATAATTACTCATTTCTAAAGTTTATATTTCTGTCCACATAATCATATGCTAATTAATAAGGACATAAGAATTGTAAGAACGCCCGTTTTTTATCTAACTGGTAAATCCAGGTTAAATTTGCATTTTAAATCAATTTCACGAAATATAAGTTCAATACAACCCATAGCATTGTAGCACAATGAAGTAATAACGTCACATAATGACGAACAATGCTGGCATAGATTAAAAAATGATTGTTATTCCATGAGCGAATTATTGGAATCGCTAATAATGTGAATGTTGTCCTTGACAACGCTATGTATCGCAATTACGATCGTGTCACAAATGTTACAACCTTAAAAAATACGTTTATACAAGCAATTGTTACCTGTTGTGTAGAAATTCCTTAGATATATTTTGCTTATACATACGACACAAACAATACCTTTTTTTTTATTTGATATCTTTAAGAAAAAAAGCCACTGCCTTTAGAATCGACTATGAGAGCACATTAATGTCACTAAACAAAAAAAACTGAAATGAAATCTGTCCCAACCTGTCTAACTTAATAGGTTGTTTTTGGTTGCCCCTAGTTTCTGGCGGTTCCGCAATAACCAGCCATGTAGCTCATCAACAGCACCGAGAATAACGGAACCATAGTAACGGCCGTTTATTCGTTCTTAGGGAATCAAAACGTGGCGGCAGCCAGTACGCTACTTACGAGCTATAAAAGATAGGAAATGCCTACCGAGATCAAAAAATATTTGTATCAGCTTTTTACGTACAAACCCTTGAACAGTGTAAATACATCCTTCTGCGGTGCAAATTAATCTGTTTAATAGAGCTGAACAGCCATATTGTGGATCTAATACTACACTTTCCATTTTGTATTATAATAGGCTCTCAATAATAGCCCTAAACAGGTATTACATCGAGGTATACTATTTCGTTTTTGTAAACACATCCTGTGCGTGTTGTAATGGTGGCAGGTATAAACAACATTGCAATGTAAGTCAGGATAGTATTATTCAATTCTAATTGCACAATGTATCACGACAACCAGTATTTACTATATTTGCTTCTTTTTAATACAAATAACCGGCGACCAATCCATACAATGTCGTTTTAAACAACATAAAGCTACTTTAAAAAACCAAATAAATTCTGAACATAAGAAATAAGTGTTTTGTGGTCTTTCAGAGTAACCCCATGTAAAGAAATACAAACGGGTTTGGTCTAAAGATGTTTAGTAAAACTCATTTTTTCCAAGTCGTTCACATCCTAATACGCGTTTTGAGATCATTATATGCATCCATTCATTCAAATGAGCGCTTTTCAACACGGCATCGCGGTATTTTAATTTAAATAAGTGTTTACCAGTATATAGGTAGGTAGAATGGGTTCGGTGATACTTCATTTCGTACATATTCGCAGTTTATTTATGCATGTCCGTGTGGTGACGGATTAAGAAAGAATTAAGGATCTTATGGGTGTCGTATGAGCCGGCTAAGGGAACAAACGACGCATGACAACAGCATTGCAAAGAGAAGGAAAACTTGAAACAAACCCTATACGAGCCCGTCTGGCCAGCGCATCAGTAAGCTAGGACCTCCTTTGCAAGGAGAGGCCTTTGTCCCAGCAGTAGACTGTTATAGGCTGTTGATGATGATTCATGCATAAAATAAAAATATAAAATGCAAGAAATGCCCAAAAAGCGCTCATCATGTTACAATAAAAAATAAAAACCCGTCATTTGAACATAGTCTAATCCTGCAACTCTAACGTCAGTCACTATGTAACAGACGCTTTATGTCCCTCAGCTGTAGGTCAAAATGTAAAATTGTATGTTTTTATAAAATGATCTTTTTCAGGACGCGCTCACGCTCGGGCTCCCCGCGACGCGGCTACCGCTCGCGGTACTCCCGCAGCCGTAGCCGCTCGTACTCGCCTCGCGGCTCATATCGCCGCTCGCACTCCCACAGCCCTATGTCCTCGCGGCGCCGCCATCTTGGTGATAGGGTGAGGAGCGATGTTTATGTGAATACCCTTTATTGATTACTATGTGTTAATTAAGATAAGTTCCCACCCATCCTTTCCTTGAACCCTCTTGAACGTCCATAGCTTTCATCAAATAATCTATATATAATAACAACAACCATAATGTCCAGAATTTCAATTTACTAATAATGTACTCAGATATGGACGATCGATTGGGTTGCACACACTTAGAGAAATGAAACCAACAGGTTGAAACTTGTACACATTAACACAAATAGTATTTATACAATAGCAATTGGCTACTATAATCGACAAAGATATTGAGCGAATTATTGAGGTCTTCAGACCTTCGATTCGTACTGCAGTGTCCGAAATTCAGAACATCAAATTTCCTGAATCTCTGATACCACATTTTTGTATGTTTCGTCAAGGCCTCCGCTCTTTCGTATAGTACATCGATTATGGATCTAAGTAAACCATTTTTGTTAATGTTAAAATTACAAAGTAGATACTTTCTAGTAGTTGCATATCCTAATTTAAAATCAAGGTAATCAGTCATTCAGGGAATTTGTATATTAAGATAGATAGTCTCAGTACTGAATATTGAAATAGTCAGAAATTCACCCTAATAATACATTTTTTTAATACTCTGACTAGCAACAATATGGAAGTTTGAGGCAGTTTATATATAAAAAAAAAAACTACAAAAAAAAAGTTTTGAATGATTTATTATAAATGTTAAATCAAGTAGCAACTGAAAATATTGGTTTGTTATCAAAGATTTTCGATTATTATACGCTTATTACACTCGCGCATTTAAATTGATTTGTAAGTTATACGCTATGTCAAATATAAACGTCACAGTGTTTATTTTATACTTGTTGCAGCCAGAAACAAGGCGCGGCGTCAATCACCGCACGGGAGAGATAATTGTATGATCTACATTGTATTTAATAATGACTAGTAATGTGCTAAACATTACTTTTAAATGTTATAATTAAGTGCTTAAACCAGGTGTGGGTCAGTGGTGGTAAGGGTTGGAAACTACGACGTAGTTACGGGTTTGATATACCGGCTACATGGGTATCGCTGCTTTTTTTCATGTTTCTTTAAAGAGCTCGTGGAATATCTAAATAACTCATATATATAACATTTTTTAAAGTATTCACTCTAATTTTTACAAAGGTCCCCAGCTCCATTTGTTGCTTGTTAGTACTTTCATGTATTGTACAAGTTATTTAAAGTCCACTCACTCATCCAGGTCTTCAACCTGATACAATAGTCCAGTCCAACATTTTGTACTTATTACACCGCCAAGAGACGTGAAAAAAATATTAAAATTCTTGATTTTAATTCACATTTGTAAACACACGAAACCCAAGAGTTCTATAAACTGGAATATTGCAATGACCCTATTCAGGTGACGGTACTAGTCTTAGTCTGGTGAATTTTGCATGTGGAAATTGTTTGTTTATGTATGTATAAGTTATTTGCGGGGCAAATATTCAGCTTGTGCGGTACCTAGTCTATACAAGAAAACTGTCCAGAAGTTACATTGTAAGTACCCACCAACAAGTTATTACCTTTCGATAAAATACGATGAATAATGTAAGTACAATCTTTATTGAGTTCCGGAACATTGAATGTCATGCTACGATAATTTCACAGGGATATGAAACACAGTCATGCTGCATACATCTTTATTTACTCTGAAGAAATATCTTTAACAGCATGGTTAAATTTAGATAAGTAATATACATGTAATGTTTTTCAAGCGTCTCATGGTGGCTTAACAAAATTAAATCCATCGATAAATTTGTTTTGTTGTCCAGTTTTTAGCTCACTGGGCAACCAAATAGAACGTGTGTTTCTATTGTCGACAGGAAAACCCAACTCCGTCGAGGTGTCTCGGCGTCTTCGGCCTGAGCTTGTATACTACCGAGCAACAAATTAACCAAATCTTTTCGAAATATGGACCAGTTGATAAAGTACAAGTCGTCATTGACGCCAAGGTAAGAATTTGTAAATTTGTCCAACGTTTTCTTCAACACTACACTTGCTTTGATTTTTTGACTATTATCTGAGAAATTATAGTTGAAATGCAGCAGAATTATCAAAACAGAAATAGCCAGCCTTTAAAAGTCTGCTGCTGGACAAACACATCTCCTTAGAAAGGAGGTTTTGTCCTACTATACCACGATGGCCAGACGGGTTGGTATATGATTTTTGTCACGTTTTCCTTCTCTTTGCAGTGCTGTTGTCCTATGTAGTTGCTCAGTTAGTCGGCTCTTACGACACCTACGGGATGGATAGGGGTGGTGAGATTCCGTATTCTTGATCCGTCACCACACGGATTACACAACGTTGTATTCAAATACGTGTATATTCTTGTTGAATCAGGAGACTCAGTATATGTATCATAAATATGTGCATATCTACAAATCAATGTTATTTGCTGAGCTTCGCAGAAAAACGAACGCCAAGGAAAAATACCGGATGTCGTTTAGTAGTACAAAGACTTTAGAAAGATTTACTTGAGCGAAGCCGGGGGCAAAAGCTAGTTAAATATTTATATTATGCGAAGCAGGCTGCTTTGTTCTCCATATTTTACCTAAATTTTGACAAGCCTCGAAATGGTAATTTTAAATGTTTTTTTTTTTGCATATGAATATCGATATATTCACTGATTGCTACTAAAGATACCAGTGTTATAATTTTTCATTTTAAACGTCGAGCTGTGCCGACTCGCAACTACACATGAAAGGGCATTAAATTCAATGTTTGCTGATAACGTTCACAGCAGGCATGTTTACGATTGTACACATACTTGGAATTTTATGCTCATATTTAAACAACAGGCAAATACCCGGAGTTTTACAATGTAAAACATTAAGACTGCAAGGTCCTAATGTATTACATTGTATAGAAAGTAGTACAGATGCTGCTATTAATTGTAGTAAATTAAGAGACAATACTTACCTATATTTGTGTTTACTATGGGTAGCTTATTATTATAATAACTTCACAAATCTCACACACGACAGTCTGATCTCAAACTAGGTAGAACCTATGTTATTGTAACCAGACTGCTGATACTTAAATATTTAAAAAAACATACATATTGTAGCTCAAAATATCAATCAATATATATTATAGATCAATACGACGATCGTATGGCATAGTGGTTTGTGTAACGGACTGCTATTCCAAAGGTCGCGGGTTAGATACCCGCTCAAGCCAAACATTTGTGTGCATGAACTTTTAATGTTTGATTTGGTCTAGGCGTTTCCATGTATAATATGTATGTATTTACAAAAAAAAATGTGTAAATGTATTTATATCAGTTGTCAAGTACCCATAGTACAAGCTCTGCTTAGTTTGGGACTAGATGGCGTTGTGTCAATATGGTAGAATAATATTATTATAATATTACATCCAGACAGAACAAATAATCGTGGTTAGCACACAATTATTTATCCTGGGTGGGAATCGAACCCACGACTTCCGGCTTAGCAAGTCAGGGTTACTAACATCTAGACCAACAGGCTTCTATGATGCACATGTTATGCACATAAAGTAGAGAATATTGAAAAAGTATGTCGATCTCAGCACACGAAAAAACGGTAGTCCAATAACACCATTATAGATAGTTCAACTCAGTTGTGCGCGCGGCCCTATGTGTGCGTGGTCTTGTAAATATACAACTTTCATTCGTGTGGCAGTGACGCGGCAGTCGGACGACGGCCGCGCGCACAACTGAGTTGAACTATCTATAATATGATTTTCCTGTTGTAATTTTTGTTTTTAAGTCACTGCATCAATATTCCTGTTGGGCTAGTAGATCTGCTCACCCAAAGTTTTTGGTTTGATTACCACTCAAAATAAATAATTGTGTGATGTGCATGGTCATTTTTCTGTATCTGAATGTAATGCTGCACGGATGGCGTAGTGGTTTAAGCGGTCGCCACGCCGCTTCCTATTACGCCGAGTGTTGTGGGTTCAAACCCCACATGGGACGACACTTTGTGTGATCCACAAATTGTTGTTCTGAGTCTGGGTGTTCTTTGTGTTCGTTTCATGTATGTTTGTAAAGTCCCCCGCGACACAGGATTTATTCCTAATGCGGGAGTTGTCTTTTTTAAACCAAAAAAATATGTAAAAAATGTATGTATTATAAAAGTAGGTTTAACCACATACTATGATGTAGTCTGTCTGTTGATAAACGTACTTTTACTACGTAGAGCTCTGCTTTAATCAGAATCAAGATAATTGACGGGCCTGTTGGTCTAGTGGTTAGTGACCCTGACTGCTAAACCGGAGGTCGTGGGTTCGATTCCCACCCAGAACAAATATTTGTGTGATTAGCACGATCGTTTGTTCTGTGTCTGGGTGTAAATTTATCTATAATATGTATGTGTTTAGAAATATATAAGTATGTTTATCAGCAGTCTGGTTACCTTAGTACAGGCTTGCCTAGTTTGGAATCAGACGGCCGTGTGTGAAAAATATTATTATTATAAATGACAATAAATCAATAAACTAAACAAATAAACATGACGTACCAGTTAGTCTAGTGGTTAGTGACCCTGAATGCTAAGCCAGAGGTAATGTCTTCGATTCCCACCCAGGACAAATAATTGTATGATAACACCGATACACCACCCCGCCGATAGTCCGACACACCACCCCGCCGCAAACCCCGGAGGGGTGACGGTCCGAGGGGATTTCCACACGTTAAAAAAAAAAAAAAAAAAAAGGCTTGCCTAGTTTGGGATCAGACAGTCGTGTGTGAGATGTGTGAGGTTATTATTATTATTTATTATAAGAAAGATCAGACGACCGCCTCTGTGACGTGCCTTAAGTTATCATTATAATATTATAAATATAGGTATAATATATAGGTACTGTTGAAAGGTAGGTAGTATCTACATAGCAGATCTAGAAATCAAAGCATTATTAAGGTACATCAAGAAAATTTGATGCACAAATTACACATATACGGTCGCACACATTTGCATATTCATTTACTTAGAATGTTGGATAATACACATAATATAGTTATTTGTGATATATTTTTGTTACAATTACAATATTTACGTATCTTTATATTTGCATTTGAGAGTTGCATAGATGCTATTCATGGAAGTTCTGACACCTTTTAGCAATATTCATATAGTACTTGTACTGTATGTGTATTGCCAGGCATCCTATAAACAAAAAAACCATTCCCTGTTCTAGACTGGCCGCTCTCGAGGCTTCTGCTTCGTATATTTTGAGCATCAAGAGGATGCTAAAGTTGCAAAGAACGAGTGCACCGGTATGGAGATCGACGGGCGCCGCATCCGCGTAGACTTCTCCATTACACAGCGTGCTCACACGCCTACACCCGGCATTTATATGGGCAAACCTACGTAAGTGTTGAATGAGTCTTAGTTACACTAGACAATATGTATAGTGTCTTGGTGTAGTGGTTAGCGATTACCACGCGGTCATATATTGTGTGATTAGCGCGATCATTTGTCCTGTCTCTGGGTATAATTTTTCTTAAATGTATGTAATTTGAAATATATAAATATGTTTATCAGCTGTCTGGTTACCAGAACACAGGCACTGCCTGATTTGGAATCAGACGGCAGTGTGTGATGTTTCGAATAAAAAAAGAAGTTATTATGCTCATGTTCATTGAATCAGGTCAATAATCCACTCAGGATAACTTATTACTAATAAGTTTCTTTCTATATTCAAAATAGAAACAGAAGTGACTACTAACACCTAGTGCAATTGGCCTAGTTGTAAAAACCTTAATGTGAGATTATTTAAGAAAATATTATGTTGTCTCGTCTATTTTCTTACACCTTAGTAAGCACAGGTTTTTGGAAAGAGGAAATTTTATAAACTTTATCTATTGCCGTACTGATCTGAAACATAAAATATTTTTGACCTAATTGTGTGGCGTTATATTTCTTAGCGAAACTCGATGTTGGTCTTCCGAAACTAATCAAGTGTAATCAGCACTTACAGGTTTTTACACTTTAATATTTTCTTCATTAAAAAAATGCGCTACTCACAGATATTAAGCTAAGAAAAATATAAATTAATTCGGGCGTTACTGTATATATGTAATATAAACTATAATTGTTTTTTCCTTATGGTTATATGTTCTGCATCTTTAGTGAAGTCTAGTCTGAAAGAGCAATGGAGCTAAGGCCCATTTTTGCATTTTTGTTTACTTACAAAATTATGAACAGCCAAAGTCATGTTTATTATTATACTTGTATTTTAATTTAAGATCTATAACTTAAAACTATTACCAAACACGAGATATAGATAAATAATTATATTTACGGACATCAACGCGCTCACGATAGATATTAATTAAATACCTTTGAAATGCCTGATGTTTCAGCCAGGTTGCTCTGACCCGTCAGCTAGTGAAACACTAGATATTCTAACTATTGTTAGGTGACTAAGAATCTATCCAGCATTAGAAATTCACGCGCAATAATTTATTGTGAGTGACACCTAGGTGTTGGTAGAACAAACTGAACAGATTTAGAGTGAATCGACTAAAGATTTAGGCGACTTACTAAAGGCCTGTTTGTATACTACAATAAACATGCATTTCATGTGAACAATCATAATCCATGGTGGCTAAAATAGTTTTCTTTTATTTTGAGCAGTGTCAGTAGAGGTGACAACGGGTACGACAGACGCGGACGAGACAGAGAGTAAGTTCTTTTAAACATTCATAAACATCAGTATCTCTTTTATACATTTACTGTAGTACATAGTACAAAAATAGATGCTAGACTTGGTTGTTATAACAGTCAGCGTTGTAACAGTATAGTTTCAAATTTTATCAGTTATAGCAAATTTGTTTGCGATTTATGCACTTTTATTCACTGTTAGATACATTTAATAAAATTGCATTGCAGTCAAATGACAGCATTATTACTGACTAGCTGACCCGCGCAACTTCGTCTGCGTCTCTCAATAGTAATGAATTTTCTCCGTTTTTGAAACATTCTTCCTCGATAAATGGGCTATCTAACACTGAAAGAATTTTTCAAATCGGACCAGTAATTCCTGAGATTAGCGCGTTCAAACAAACAAACAAACTTCAGCTTTATAATATTAGTATAGATTTGTCTGTTTTTCATTGTATGGGAACTACCCACTCCAACTTACGAACGAGATCACGGCGAAGTTGACTACACCTCTGGCAACTAGCGATCACGGCGAAGTCAATCCTTATTTTCTGAGGTGTGAAAGGCCCTCATAGGTCCCGTTGTAAGTAGTTGTATATAATGCGGCATCTAACTTGGGTGTATGTTTGCAGCGATTACTACTACCGCGGAGGCGGCGGCGGCGGCGGCTACCGCGAGCGCGACTACTACCACCGCGGCTACCGTCATCGCTCCCCCTCTCCGCACTACCGGCGCCGTCGCTACGAGCGCGAGCGCTCCTACTCGCCTCGTAAGTCTCCCCTCCACCACCTACCGTAATCTCAATAGTTCAGACACAGATACTGCCTCACTGATACTATTTGTTGTTAACTCGTTTTAAAATTAGGCAAGAAGTGTTGCCCCTCTAAGCATTCTTTTTTGTATTTTTTGCCTAAATAAAAATAGAAAATTATCAACATCGTAACATAATTTATTGTATATATATCACGCTTTATAAATTTAAAGTATGCACATAATATGCTCGAGGTGTTTTAAAATGCAAACATCTTTCATAACTTTAAAGGTATCACTACTTCGATTTAATTTCCCGTTGCCTCTTTTTTTCGGTTTAAATTTTTTATTGCTATTGCGGTTCTAGTGTGTGTAGCGGTTTTTTGTTTGTAATACTTTAAATGTGCATATAACTTTAAATTATTGTCATCGGGGCGGTTCTTAGTTATACATAAATATAACCAGAGATGTTTTTGTATCTTTCAAGGGGTGGTTAAATGATGTTTATTTGTGTTTTTATATCTATGTATATATGCTATTTTAGATCGAGTGTTCAAAAAAATGAAGTAGTATTAGTGCTTATTTACTTACTAGTTTGCCTTGTATTTCAACATAAATATTAAAATAGTAACTCAACAAAAAGTATCGGTGATATATACTTATACAGTGGCGACATTGAACGCATCTATTTTTATATTTATTGTTTATTCTTGCATACATGTAAGATATCAGAAAATTAACGAAAAGTAAATGACTTGTGTTCAAATTTCGTGGTCACCAAATATTGATGAATCTATTTTGGATATTTCAAACAATTTAAGTTTGTTATTGTAATTGTTAACTTTTAATTAGTGACTCGACTCGACTTACATTCGGCAATATTTAAATCATATATAATTTGAACTCAGCATGACTGTAATAAGTCTGTCCAAAATAGATTACAGATCAACCGCTTTTCAATGTTATGTAGCTTTACATAAAAGTATTTATAGTTTTTTTCTATCTTTGTCACAAGGTCATGAAAATGACTTATTCTTTGTATAATATGTAGCCATCCCCTGCTATTAGAAAATCATGTGTGGCTGAATAAAAAAGTAAATGTTCAAATGATGACGATAATATCATCTATGTAATTGTCATCACTAATAAGTAATGTAAAATAGTAGCCAATCCAATTATGAACCTACCTGTTACATCTATATTACATCTTTTAATGCTCAAAACCTTTAATTTTACAAAACTGGCAAAAATCTGCAAGTTTAGCTGTGCTCTGTGAGGTTGTGATAAAGCCTCAGTTACATATTATATAATTAAAAAAACATCAAAATGTTTTTGTTTCAATTTTGTTGAATTGTAAATATTGTATTTACCAAACTACTGTTTTTACTAAACCAAAAAACAGCTTTATTTTTGTAAGTAATATTTCACAGTATGTTGATATCTTTTCGTTGGTTTTAGCCTTTATGCTTTTTTGTAGTTAGTCTTAAGTTCCCTGTTGTAGTTAATATTGTTTTTTCTATCAATTTATTCACACAATGACTACTATTCTCATATAGACATCCATTGTCTTAATTGATGGCTTGCTTATTTATTTTCTCTCATATTTTCTTGGGACGTTGAGGCTTTCAATTACAATAATAACCTCACCTCATTATAACATGAATTAATTTTCAACAATAAGTAGTTGGTACATTATTGTGTTGAATTTTTCATCCGAAACAGTTAAAAATGTCATGATTGTATATAATATGACTTACATTTGGCTCTTGAACGCCCAAACTTAAGTTTTGATTATGAAATACGAAGGCCTTTGTAAAATTAAATTAATAAAAATGGTTGTGAATGAATGGATAGATTCTAAGTGTTGTTACCTCATTAACATAGCACAAGATGTTTCCATATAACATATAGTTACTCCCCTCTTTGACTTTGCAGGTCGTTATTAGTAAGTTCGCCAAGCTGAGTTCAACTTCAGGCATAGCATAGCATTTTGATACAACACCCCCCAAACATTGTCGACCGGTATCCTATGCATTTATCTGTACTGTACCTGTACCGGGTAGTCATGTTGTGTCCGCGGCCGCGCTACTGCTGCGCTCACCGAGAGAAGCTCTTTATGTTAATTGTAATGTGACGAAGGGTCTAGACATAAGTTAGTTGTAACTGCCCACGGGCATAGTTGCCTCTAGGATGTAAAATTAGCTCTAATAAAGATTTAACACTAAGTCTAATATTGATTTTGTTTGTTTGAAAAGGTATTGAAACAAGAAGTAAAGGATGAAGTTCCTTGAAACTATCTGTGTTGAAGTTTTGAAAATGTTTGATTGAAAAGTCCTTTCTGAAATGGCGCTGCCGGGTCCGGGACCGACGCGATATCGGGCCACTGGCATGTCGAAGCGAAAAGAATATGATCGAGCTAGCCGCTTTGTAGGAAGTAGGAAGACAAAACAAGTCGAAGACACACCAAGAGAGAAGCCGCGCGCACTGATCATATTCTTTATCTTCCGACTGTTTGAACGTACATTCAATACATACATAGAGCGTTGTGGCGATGTGATCGATTGCATTTCTCGTGTTGGTAGTTTTACGTACATATGTATTATTATGTATTCGGATGTATCGAGTCTGGTATCTTCACGATTAGCGTAGCGTTGTGTTGTGACAGACGTAAATAAACAATAGTTTTGTAACGTCATTATGGCTCTTTCTTCATTCATATTGGTTCGTCCCACCTTTCTCTATCCATTCAATCCTTTCTTATCTTTTGATAACGCTATATAAGATCACGGAATGTGCGGGTAACTTTATTTTAAACATATTGTTTCAATTTAATATAAGGCAATGATTGAGGAGTAAAATTAATATGGCTTGTTTTAGCCGTTTGGGTTAATAATTGGTTATAGAAAGGTTCTAATGCTTATGGTCGAGTCAATTGTTTCTATTATTTAGTAATGTGAACATGTACTTGTTTAACCTTCTTAAAGTATATATGTATGTTATGTGTATGTATATGTACTAATAAATTATTAGATAGATTTAAAATATTTTACTTATCTGATATATAATTGGCAGTCCGTAATCTAGTGTTAACTTTCACTAGGAATGTAATACTTTCTACGCTCACGGTGGATTAATATTTTTCAATTTAACGGCACATGTATTTTTCTGCTCTTGGTGTGGACTTCAGTGGGCAAATTTAATTTCTGGTTTACTCTTACTTTTATGGTATAAACACAAGTTTGGGTATACAATAAAATTACGAAGTGTGTGATGGATTTATTTTTGGCCATACTCTTCTACTTAGATATTATTTAATGGCGTATTTATAGGTCAATATCACGAATGAATTTAAATTTTCAATTCAAATAAGACGATCAATTCAAGACTGTAAACACTGGTACTGGAGCGGATCTGTGTGGTACAGTCTTGAGGATATTCTGTCTTGTACCACTATCTGCAGTGTGGGTTAAACGTGACTAATCTACCGTTGACGCAAGCCAGAGGGCAGTTATCTTTTTTGGTATGTGCTTTTTCTAGGATGAAAACAACTTCGGCCAAGCTGCTCCTTGATTCACATAATTGTTTGACTTTTTTAGTTTGTAATAGTATTTTGTAAAGCATAAAAAAATATAAGAAGTTTTCTTTACTATATTTCAAGATACTCAGCATGATTTTGACATAAACTTGCGGTTGCACAAAGTTGATAAAGAATTGACAGATGGTCAAAAAAGTAAACTGCTCATCCATCAACAGCATTATTATAATGCAACTAGGTTAGTATTAGAAAACAAAAAAGTTCTAGGACTTTTAGGCGCATAGGGCCTAATAACAGGCCACCTTTGGATGGACTCGAATCGTTTTGAACTGGTAACTGTTCTGCTAATGTCTATTTGTCGGAAACTTGATATCTCCTCAGTCATTGCGTAGCTGTAATTTGAATTCAAGTTTCAATTTATTTGCATAGTTATACTGATTAAATAAGAAATAGTAATCTAGATAAGTAGTTTTTTCACCTCATTTCAACAACCCAAATTCTACCTTCAAAGTCGACTATCGAGATCTTAAAAATTTTCTGGTCATTTCATACTGATGCTATAATTTAATTTCTCTTAGGAACTTGGCTGCGTTTAAGGGTAATGGGAAGATATATGTGTATTAAAGGTATTTCTTTCATAGGTAAACGTAACTGTGGTATCCTTTGATTAATTTATATAGGTATGTACTTACTGGAATAAATTAGGAGTAGCAGTAATATTGTATGATAATGCATAAAAATGGTAACTACCTTATTTATAAATTAGTAAATGTAACGAAACAAATGAACAAACTTAAATTGTTTTTGATGACATTTGACAAATTTTAATGGAATTCTGAGGCATATGCGACTACAATTGTATTTTTTTTACCGTTTTTATGCAAAGTAGTTGTGGGCAGCGTTGGTGTTTATTGATAAGTTTAAATAATAACAAATTTTCACTATCATATTTTTATTAAAATTCCTAACAATTAATTATGTATACTTATAAATTATACCACATGATTGTGTCGTATTGGCACTCCTATTATGGCGACTACACTAACCGCTAATAAAATAAAATACTCGTAAAATATACAAATAACATTAAAAACAATAGATGCCAACAGATACCATTAATAGCATTGTTTTTGCATTGGACGCTTTCAATTATGGCGGATTTGTGTCTCTTAGAGCTACGGGACGTGAAATGCAATTAATAGCTGTTCCATTTCTAATGCTAAGCATTAGAGCCAGTTTTATTCGCAAGATGCAACATATGCTCGGTAATACGAGTGTTAGAGTTATGGTCCGTATCAGAGGGCCTAGTGTGATTTTATTTCACATGAATTTAAGCACGGTGACCGCGTATGGCGTTGCGATTAACCTGCATCGAACTCAACCAATCGCAACGAGTTGTTGATGTGAAATAAACTCACGAGACCCACAGGCGGCTATTCGACAATGTGCATCCTACACTAAACTCATTCGACACATTGGCTCAATAATTATTTCAGTCACATGATAAATCGACTAGTATTTTCTCTGAACAAAATTTACATACGGTACTAGAAGTCTAAAGATTCGAAGCTGTTGTATATAAGCGTTTCTTTAAATACAGGTTTTGATTTCATATTTAATACAAAATCATTTCCATACTAAATAAATTTCTTGAAATGATTGGAATGCATATTATATAATACTGTAAAATTAATCGGACACGAGGTACATAGCGATATCTTAAACTAATAAAATATTTAAACATTTCAATACAAAGCACACCTACTTAGCTCCTATGTTTTGGCAATTTCTGACATGCTTGTGAAAGGCAATAAGCAGAACAAGTTGACATATTTGATTTTATCGTAATGGAGATATTTATTTTACCATTCATGTTAGGTTTGGAAAATATGAGAATGGAATACCGGGGTTTATAGTTCTAAGTTTTGTTAAAACTTCTGTCCTAAAGGGACGTGAAAAAAAACGATTACTTACATTTACAGTTAGGTTTATGTTCTCTAGTGTCGGTAGCATTTATATTTTTGACATGCAACTTCAATTATCAATATGTTGTACTGGCTTAACCCTTAAAATAATTAAATTAGCTGCTCTTCCAGAGAAAGAGTCCAGCTAGGCGGTGCAGTGGATGGAATAGCAAAATGTTACTATAATAAATTCTAACTGCATACCCACATAATAATAAAAAATCCAGATGTACTGTTATAGACAAAATAGGGTCTTTTAAATGCGACTTTTAAACTCCTGTACACCGGGATCAACAGCAATGACCCCACGAGTGTCATAACTTGGGGTGTTCGTGGGGCCCACGAACACATTAATTTATGACACTCGGGAGTCCCGGAAAAATAAACTGTCTTGGAACCCGCAACGAAATTAATCAGAAGAAAATTAGAGGAAAAGCGGGAGATAAAATGAATTAACATAGACATACACCTTTTTTAATCAGGGCAGCACCACGGTCACAAAATATTAAACCCTCCTAAGTGAGCTACCTATTTGATTTCTATAATATGTATGGCAGAATTACTGAACGCACGTAAATTCACCCTAGTTGACACAAGATCCCTATAGTATACTGCCCCACATGTCACCTGTAAGATATTCGCATTATACTAAGTTCATTATACCAAAGACTACATTCCCAGAGGATATGATGAGCAGACTGTTCACAGTTAGAGTCAGGTGCTGAGCATTGACACAATAGTGAATCGACTATGTAATTTAAATGAATACAGTTTGTTCTTAAAGTTACCATGTCCTGTAATAAACTGAGCGCGAATGGATGAAAAGAACTGGTAAAGCTTTGCTGCCATTCGTCTCTGAGATATAGACATCGGACTGCTGGTGAAGTGCCGGTGTAATTTTATCGCGATCTTGTGCGCCCAAAAATTGCATCCAATGTTTTGTAGTGTTGAATAGTACATGGCTGCACGTCTTTGCACCTCGAGATCGACCGGAAGCCTCAGTGCTAACCGTCCTATATGCCTTGCACAAGAATATCAGTGGATGTTCGATAAGAAAATCGTTGAAGCCGATATTCCACAAGTATGGACCCTGCACTGATCCCTTGAACATCAATTGTAAGCGCCTTCGACACAATGCTGACCAAGTCTTAGTGTAGTTGTACCTTGTGAAAAGTACGAAGAGAAGGGAATAAATATTTTTAAAGTACCCCCGTGATTTTAATTTCAGCAACAGCAAAGGCCACCATGCGTTGTAGAAGGAGCCAGATATATCTAACAAAATGCCAACACGTATTGAAATTTTTACTCTGTGACAATCTTCCTAACCGGTATAAGCGCATTAATTGTCGGTTTCTCTAACGTAAATCCCAATTGTCTATCATAAAATATACTCCACCCGGCACAAGCCGAGACACTACAAGACGTTCTAAAAGCTTTTCTAACGCTGGTAACAATGTGATCGGTCGGTAGGGTTTAGGATCATTCGGCGGCTTGTCACCGCTTTTTGGTATTATACGAATATTACCGCACCGCCAAATACGAGGAAATATTACTTTCGCAATGCAACGTTTAAAAACAGTCAAAATCGTGTCACCTGAAAGTTTTCAAGATTCTTTTATCATTTGGTTTGATATTTTATCATCGCCCAAAGCCTTGTTAGGGACAAGGATCTAACGATACTAAGAAATTCGTCTGAAGATGGTAAGTCTGATATTGGAGAGAGTGGTGGTTTGATGGCCTACTGCCTGATCTGTCGGTGATGATCAGTGTCATTTTCCGTCCGATCGTCAGGTCCAAGTGATTCTAAAAGATATTCTGCTGTTTGTTCTACTCTTGTGGTATATCTGTTATTAATTTTGATGTTCTGTATGTATGGAAGGTCGATTAATCTATTTGGCTTATATCCATGATACAAAGGTGACCACGAGCTCTCTCTATCGAGTTTATCAACAAGTTTCTGAATTAAGTTTCCGTTCGATTTTTCCACAGCAGCCTTGTAATAAGATTGGGTTGCAAAAAGTTGGTGGTGCATAGTATTAGTATAGTCGAACCATATCGGTTTGAACGCAACTTGCCGTATCATAATGTAGATGACGCATTGAAATTGACGCCAATAACAAATTATGTCCATCGATTGACTAAGACGTAACGTAAATAATGTAAGTGAGAATCAACAGGATGTGAAAATTTAAAATAGCAGCTCACTACCCTACAGGTAGAGGATGTGATCTCAGCAACGGCGCCGTGTGACGTCATAAAATTATGCAAAGATGTTACCGTAAAATTAGAACTTGCAACATATATCCCAGCCTGCGAGCGGCTGTCTAGCTGTACTACATTATAACGCAACGAGAGCTCTGAAATTGCTCTTTTATACAATGTCTAACTTTTGTTCTAAAATTAAACGGTCTAATTCTGATGTGGCTGGTTCTGGGTGGAAAAACAAAAACAATGTTTAAATTGTTAGCATAAGAAGTTACAGGTGATCCGCACAGTGCCGCTAAGGAAAATGTCAAAATAGGGTCTATGTATCTGGTCTGAGAACAGCTTATTGGCAATTGAATAAATAGTATCTCTAACCTACGTTGGCCGGCAAACTTATAAACTAGTGGCAAGAAGTATGAGCATAAATACCTATTACACTTGTACATTTTCTACAATAATGCATTAAAATAGTCATGGATAATATAATAGAGCTACTTTTGGATAGATTGGCACTAGAAAATTAAGTCCCGTTTCTTTAAAAAAAGTGCACTTAAATCTTAATATTATAATAAACTGTATTTTTAATTCATTCTGATAATAAAAAATGACTGTTGTTCTGCTAAAATATTTAAATAAATTAAAATCGATTCTTGTAGCAGATATGATACCTTGTGTTAGTTTTGATTTCTTGCATTTTTGCATGTAAGGCAAAGAAAATGCAAGTAATCAAAATTTATTCAATGCACATTTGTGCCGTTCGATAGTTTTGTAGATATTCTATTACTTATTTTAGCGCCCAAAGAGGCTGAAACTGACAATTTGCATCTACACAAAAATAAATTATTCTATGAGTATAACTACCAGAATTTAGTACGCTAGGCATATTGAATACCTACAACATCCGCGTAATAAGAGTTTTTGAGTGCATATTGTTCATCATCAGTTTCGACTTAAGGCTAAATGTTTTTTCATACTTAGGTATGCATCTAGTAGTACTATCACATAAAGCATATATTGACATGACCACTGTCATAGTTCTGTGACACACTGGGCCCTTTTGAGGACCTAACTTTACAATCCATAATTGGCTTATTTGACTCACAAATTCTGATTCCAACTTTCACAATTTTTCGAGACATCATTAATCCCAAGCACATTTTCAAAGAGTGCCCCTCAAACTACACAAGTCTGTATTCTAAAAGGAAATTTAAAATAAGAATGCTGTCTGGTTTTGTCATAAATACTACTAAGTGGTGATATTAAAAGGTAAACATTGGATTGTGCTGAATGTGATAGCATACTTAACATCTTAAATAATCTAAGAATTATTTATCCAGAAATTTGTAATTTATATACAGCCATCGTTAATGGAATATTATGGAATCGGAATCAGTAGATATGTGACGTTGTTTTTTTTTTATCTATTCTACGGTTACACATTACAAGTTAGTTTGTGTAAATTTTTCGTGTATCGTTGCAATGGTTTTCTCTTTGGACTGTTCCACCTATTTTATTACCTTTATTTAAATACATCATCGGCGGTATTCTTTAATATTTTAAACATGGAAGTTTTGTTCACTTCTGCTTAAATTTATCGATTCGTCAGAACGGTCGATGGAAAAATATCTAAATACAGAAAATCATGTCAATAATATCGTACAAGTCGAAATCCCTACTCGATTATAGTTATCCGATCGCAGGCGGTGCCTTGCAATATCTTACGAGGAGAACGCACTCACAAGGTATATATGAAGGTGCCTAGAGCAGCAGCGTGGCGTGGTCGCGCTGCAGGCGGCGGCGCGCGCGCAGCGGGGCCAGCGCCAGCGCGTCGGAGGGGGGGGGCGGGCCCGCGCCGCGCGCCGCTCGCTCCTGGTAGTACACGTGCGCGCCGCCGCACGACGCGCCCACCACCACGCTCTCGTCGCTCCTGGACGTTCAATTATCGATCACGTTTGTTGGACAAAATAAAATACTACCCACTTTTGATCGCGAAAATCGTTAAATTATAATAAAAAAAGTTATTTATGTAAAATTAGTAGTTAGTGACCTACAATTTAGGATCGTTTTTTATTTGCTCTCCTCGTAGGTACGAAATTGCAATATTAACATGCTAAGATATAAGAATTCGCAATTAATTAAATTAGCATTAATGCCCATCACTTATCCGGGCGTTCCCGAGATAAAGGGTCTCGACAGACAGACAACAAAGTGATTCTTTTCGCTGATAGTGTGAAGGTCATCATTTAAAGGAAAACATTTACATATGTGTTCACTAAATTATCAATATATCGCTTTAATGTACACCATATAGGTGCAGTGCAAAAACAGTGCAGCCTAAGTTCCATACCTTCACAAACAGGATACTAAACGCTTTTAACCAATATCTCGGTATACATAAGATATCATCAAAAATCATCCCCAATTTCCAACCCATTTCACCCAATTAAATAAAGTAAATTTTCAGCTCGACTGTTCTTTCTTGAAATATTACCCTTTTTTAACTATAACGTTATACATTGTTTAGAATTACTATTACCTTTAGAATTACTATTATCTTTTAAAACTCATGAAGTTTAAAACAGCAAAATATTATTTTGTAAACACGTAAAATTTTAAACTAAATATTCACAAATAAAGTTTTAATTTTATGTGTAACTTTAAATTTAAACTGAAAAATATTAAGTCATCATAAATACTTAGAGAATAACCTCAGTCTTACCTCAGTATAAATTCAGATAACTCCGGGTCTTCACTAAACTCGTTATGTATGAGGCCCATAGTGGCGATATCCAGCGCGGCCCAAGGCCCGCCCTTGCGCACGGTGCCCCAGTCCGGGTCCAGCGTGAGGTAGCTGTAGTCCGTGGAGTCGGCGTCCGCCGCCAGCGGCTCCATGCATTTCTGTTCTATAGGACCTAGCGCGTTTAGTGACGTTTCCCACTAGAACAGAATAGTAAAAATTTGAACTAAATAATAATAACTTTTTTATTAATTTGTAACATCCTCCTTTTCTGGGAAATCACTTGACTTACGAAAATAAAAGTAGCCAGGAATTGGTAAGGAAATAGTTTGAACAGGAGAAGAGCTAAGAGTGGATTCTGCTGTTCGCACTTAAGAATTCTATCATGCATGTGGTTCATTATTCCTTTAAAATCTTCATCATGGGGCGAAAAATGTGCGGTAAATAAAAAAAACCGGTGTGACACGATTCGAAATCTTGCGCCGAGGGTTCCGTACCTACCCAGATTTTACGTAGATTTTCGCGAAAATTTGTAAGTACCAAAATTTATCTTCATTTTCAACTTTTTGTTTTTTTTTTAAAAAGACAACGCCTGCATTAGGAATATACATTCCTGTGTCGCGGGGGACTTTACAAACATACATGAAACGGACACAAAGAACACCCAGACTCAGAACAACAATTTGTGGATCACACAGTGTTGTCCCATGTGAGGTTTGAACCCACAACACTCGGCGTAGTAGGAAGCGGCGTGGCGACCACTTAAACCACTACGCCATCCGTGCAGTCCTCCGTCCGTCCGTGCGTCCAATTATTCCTTTATTTGTGCTGTAAGACGCATTTTTTTGCCAAATTTCGTGATTCTAGATCAACGGGAACTACCATTTAGGATTTCGACCCAAAACCTTTAGGGTACTTCCGGTTGACCTAGAATTGTCAATTTTGGTTAAAAGCAAGGTCTTATAGCACAAGTAAAGAGAAAATTCTGAAAAAGAAAAAAATTGAAAATTAATTCAGGACCTTGATTTTTATACACCTAATAGGGACCATAAACCTCAGTATCTGGTATTAATGAGTGATGTGCCGGATATCCGTATCCAATATATCCAAGGGAGAAGAGAGATCCGTAACCGTATCCGTGACTTTTTTGGCGGATCTTTCAATACATATTACATGGATGAAATTCTATATAGGTGATTTTGTATTCACTGTAAAACTCTTAGGTATGTGTTTGTAACACTATAAACAGCAACTTTTTTTCTGGCCAACGTCAAAATGAAAAAAAATTGGTCCTCCATTCAAATGACCAATCAAATGTTGTTAGTTTGTATGGAGAAACAATTTCTGTTAGTCCAGAAGAAAAGTTGTTGTTTATAATGTTACTAATATGCACTTCATAAGTTTTCAGTAAATTTAAAATAACCCTGAATAATGGTTATTAGGTAGCTATGAAAAAACTATTGAATTCTGTTCAGATTACTTTTTATTTCTTAAAACAAATATTTGGCACCTTTGTATTGCAATCATTTATCGTACTATACTAAATCAACTAGGCAGGTCGTAGTTACTGAAAGAGCTATCTTTATAATGAGATCAATCAAACATTTTTGTATTAGCTTATTAAAATAATGAAATATTTAAATATCAACGGCAAAGCGTCAAGTGGCGACAACTATCAAGGTCACGGGCTCCGATTGAGTAAGAAACTTAATATCCGTATCCGTATCCGCGGATCTTGACACCAAATATCCGTATTCGGATCCGTATCCGCGGATATACTTTGTTAACGATCCGGCACATCACTAGTATAAATTTCAACTTGCTAGGTCTACCCGTTCCGGAGAAAATCGGTGGTGACACACGGACAGACGGACAAGAAAGTGATCTTATAAAGGTTCCTTTTTTACTTTTTGAGGTACGGAACCCTAAAAACCGGAAAGTAGTATTGCTTTCAGGACAAGAATCTTTGTAACCTATTTACGTCCCCATTGCTAATAAGAATCTCTATTAATTTGGTTAAAAAAAAAGTTGTTTTTTGTTGATTTTTTTTATGACAAAGGAACCACATCAGCCACAAGTATCTACACACAGGCATCCAGAAGATCCACACCAAAGGTAATTTATATGAAGTACTCACTAAAGCATTGATGGTATCGGCGTCGTTCGCGGCCTCAGTATCGAGGAGCGCCAGCAGCGCCATGTTGTGCAGTCCGCTGACAAAGAGCGCGCACTTCACAGAGTGCTTGCTGTACTCCGGCAGTAGTTCTAGTTCGTTGTCCGAATCTTCATCGCTCTCCGATTCTTGCAACTGTGTTTTTGGCCTAGGAACATATGAAATGTGTGTGTAGGAAGATGGCAACATTTGGCAAATGTAAAAAAAAAGTAACTCAAGCATATCAACAGTATTTGGCAACAAAAGTAATTTTTCGTAATTGTAATATTCACTGTTGGCTTAAGTTCATCAACAGTCTTAATTTGTCCACTGCTGGACATAGTCCTCTCCTTAGGAGGTTTTGGCCTAATATACTAACGATGGCCAGACGGGTTGGTATAGGGTTTGTTTCAAGTTTTCCTTCTCTTTGTAGTGCTGTTGTCCTGCGTAGTTTGCTCCCTTAGTCGGCTCTTACGACACCCACAGGATGAATAGGGGTGGTGACACTCCGTATTCTTAATCCGTCACCACTTACCATTCGGGAATTTGATAAAAAGACAATTAATTGATTTGGCTGTCATCTCCCGTGTTGCAGTCTTGGCAACATTATTTTTCATTCATAGATATTGACATTAGGATACGTTTACACTTGTCTTATCAGTTTCAGACCTAAATACCTATTAATAAATATTTAGTTCCATGTAAAAACAAAATATAATGTATTTTTATGAGCCTCTTAAAATAGATAATAGTTCTAACAATGATATGCACATGTGTGTATTAAAAATCCTTAACATTAGAAAAAATATTCTACCTGTCGGAAAATATGATCTGTTTCTCAGCCACGGGCGTCATGAACTCTCTGAGCTCCAGTGGAGTCATTACTCTACTGCTATACCCACTAGACTTGTCGGAGAACGCCAGGTGACTCAACTTCTCCATCAGAGGAGTCAATTGCACTCCAGTCAGCTTCTTTTTAAAGCTCATCGTCTCCGTGTCAGAACCTATCTGGGCATCCGTATTCTCATTAAGCGATTTCAAGGGCAGAGACAAAGATTGCCTCCTAGATTGGTCCGTAGATATTGTTTTTGAGGAATCTTTTATAAACTTCTTTGGCGTCCTCTGAGGCGATCTGTTCAACTCTGAATCGAAGTCCTCAAATTTCTCTTGCTCACACAATTTCTTATTAAAATTAAAAATGTTTTCGTTTGAATCTTTTTTCATTTCTGCATAATGCTGCTCTAAATACTGGTTGAATAATGATTCTGATATGGCAATACCATCGTTTCTAAATACAGGAAATAATGGGTCATTTATTGTCATAGTGCTAGGGTTTTTGGACAAGTGTTCTTTTGAAGGTGAGTCGTCGTTTAAAGATTCTTTGGACCGTTTGAGTTTAAATTTCGAAGTGGAACGATTCGACAGCTTCTTCACGGTCTCTTGAAGATCTGTCACGCTCGCCAACTTCCTCATTGGTTCAGGTTTATTGATATAGTGATCAGCAATACAATTGGCGTCTAAAATCATTTTGTTGTCCCGTTTTTCATTCTCCAATTTAAGTTTTGTACAATCTTCCACGTTTTTTAACACGTCTGGTTCCGTTTTATCTTGATGGTTTTCGGGTATTTGACATATAGACAGCATATTACCGTGCAGGCGTTTGAATTCGACCATCGGTGTTGAGCAAACACTCGTCTGTCCAGTAAAGATTTTGTCATTCTCTTCAATATCTTCATCTAAAGACTTCTGGTTTTTAAAACTAAGGGACAGTTTGGTGGGTCGTTGTCGTGGTTTGTTGGTGAATGGCACTACATCTGGTACTGAGGGCTTCCGTGCTTCGTCTACGGGGCGCTCTTCTCGGCTGGGGGGTGATATCATGCTGTGATCTTCTTCAGGTACTGCGGTGAACAAGAGAGACTTGTCTCGCTTCATACCGCTTTGAGGGAAGTCGCGGAGTTTCTCGCGTTCGGCTTCTTGGTTCTAGAAAATAATATCTTTTAATATATTTTTGTCTTTGCGTAAAAAAATATGTTTTTTTAAACGCGAACATTTTATTAGTACAGTTTTTTTTTACATTTCGAACGAATTAGGTTACCAATAACAGTTACATTATTTTGTTAAACCACTAGTTCTACTAATAATAATAATAAAATTGGAATCTGGGACTATGGACGAATAGTACTTTTTTTAGGTCCTCTTTGATGTTTAAGAAAATCAAATGGGTACAACATGATATATGTAAACAAAAAAGAAAGAAAGAAAACAGTTGCGAAAATGTCCGGCCTGGGTTGAGCAGAAGCGAGGCCTCGTGACGGCCATCGAAAAAAAAGATATGATATAGAGATTTTAAACCACACGGCTTAAATTTATTACAATAATTTTAATTCACCCGGTTTTTTTTTTGAAATACAAAATTATGGAAAAGATTATTCTGGAAAATAAAAATAAAGATGTTAATTTAATATAATCTATACCATTATAATAAAGCTATGGTGCTTTTTTTATCTGTACTCGTATAAACGCGCAATCTTTTGAAATAACTTCGAATAGTCTAATTCCAAAAACTTTTTTGTATTTGAGTATTCATTGAAAAAGATAGGCATTACACTTTGAGTCTGGTGAAACTATCAAGAATGGGTAGTGATAAATAAAGAGTTAACCTTTTTAAACCTAGCGATCATCTCCTCCCCGTTTTGATGGAACTCTTGCAGTTTCTCAACCTGTTTCTTGAGGCTGTGGTACACCTTCCTCCCCACGTAGACAACCAGGAGTTGGGCCCCGAGCGGGAGAGGAGTGTCCGTGTCTAACGTCTCAGCTGGCGACTTTATTCTGTACGGGTCTACCACCGTGAGGTAAGATGTTAAGCCAGCAGGAAGTTGTGTGGAGATGATCCTGTAAAATCATGGACATGTTTCATTGGCTATTTTTACTTGGAACGTACACCTGAAGCACATTAGTACACCACAGAGTATTGAAATGAAATCGTTCATTCTGCTAATAGGTTACAAGAACACTTTTACAAGTTAAAGTTTTTAGAGCAGATAAGTTTGGCTTTCCCTAACTGGACTAGTCCTGAGAAAAAAGGGCGAAACAAACTCAGGGATCATCCAAACTCCGAAAAATATTTGCAGATCATACAAGTATTTGGTCCGACCTGGGAATCGAACCCGAGACCTAAGCACAGGAGTCGCATACGCTAACACTGCACCATCGAGGTTATGATAGGACTATACTACAGGACATCTTTAAATGCAATATTTATAGACCGGTCCGAACATGCCGGCCGCTGCCACCCGTGACGGACGTACGGCTCGTTGGTCGTTGGGCCCCCGCATTTAAAATCTCTGATATCTTCTAAAATATTCATTTTAATGATATGCTGTAGAGAGCAATTTTAATCAACATTAAATGCACAACGTATCTAATGTATTTAATTTTAATAATGTATTGTTTAAATAGCTTCGTAAATAACCCATACTTTTTTCGTAATATTTAAAAGAAAAAAAATAGTTACTGTGGGTTATCCTTAGTAGACAGACATATACCATAGCGAGATCTTTTTAAGATAATACATTAATTTGGTCTATCTAGTAAGGTTTAGCCAGCGTTTGCAATGTGCGCACAAAAACATGTTTTTTTACGTCAAATCTTTGACTTTCTCTAATATAATATGTATGTATAATACATATAAACTTTCCTCTCGAATCACTCTCTCTATTGGTGAAAATCCGTTGTTTAATTTAATAGATCTAAGCGTACAACACAAAAAAGGGACTTTATTTTATATTATGTAAAGATTATAATTAAAATAATTGTCCATGAGCGTTTTCACTTAGTTCAATGTTTTAAAACATAATTAAATATAATTTTTAACAAATAAGTGAACTAATAATGTTATGATTATAGTTAAATTAAGGGGATCTAGCGGTAATCGCTAGGGCTTCTGAGTTGTGATGAGTACTTTCGCGTTCGAACCCCAACTAGTGCACTATAGTGCACTAGTTGGGGTAAACCCTATAGGGTTAAACCAGCTACTGACACAAGCATTTTACTTATCTGAAGAAGTTAATGCGAATAATCGACAATGGGTAATCGTTACTAATATTCTTTATTTAAAAATTAAATGGAATAATTTAACTTCTAATAATATATTTTCAGTGTTTTTTTTCTTACTCATTAAACCAAACGTGGATTTACAAAAGAAATTCTACCCTCTTCTCTTTTCTTTTGTTACCTGAAATGGCAATAAATAAAAAAATAAACATACTTGTTATTATACAAGATGACCCCTCCTAAGACGCCTTTGCTCCTCCGGCAGTGTTCTAATATTTGCATAGACTCCATATAAATAGATGTGGCACTCTGAAATAGTGAATTTCTTATGAACGCTTGCAGTATGCATAAAGTTAGATGTCTATGGAGGCTGGTAAAGTATTCACAGGTTGGAGAAGTTTCACTTTTATATGTATACACTAAATGTAGGTTGTAAAGGCGAAATCTAAATTCAAATTTAAAAAAAACGATCTGAGCACGAATCTTTTGAGATTTATTCTTACATAGCTAAATGCTAATAAGTTATTAATATTAATTTAGCAATAGTTTCTTTCAGAAAATAATTTTAAATACTTTGCAATATATTTGCTTCTACCATATTATGACGTCATAATTGTTAATAATAGAAAGTATTAGTTTGTTTTAAACAAGTAATAGTTTTATTATGTTATTGAACCTTTATATACATATTTTTTAAGTTATGAGTCACCTTTTAATTTGTAGTCTGTAATTGAAATTTATCAATATTAAACTTTATTCACTGTAGTTTAGAGTTTATATTAATTTGATTGTCTTGTTACCGCAAGTAATTTATTCTAATCATTAATTTAATAACATTAAAAAGTCATCAAGATCTGGCAAAAAATACTTCAGCTAAATATACATTTAAACTATCAATTGTATATTTCTAAATTGCATATTATCCTATTTTTTTTTTAATAAAGAAAGTGGCGCTAAAATCCCTGAACAGTCTGGTGGTCTATGGTCAGCTGGTCTATGGACAGAATCTTGGCCGCCAAAGGGACCGTTTCAACTTAGAAGTTGGGAGCCATTGAAACTTTGGGGTTCGTACTTATGTATGACAGCTAGCATAAGTTAGCGAAACCTGAGTGTTACACATCTAAAGTTTAGGAGGGAATAAATGATAAATAGAATATAAAACGAGTAGGTCAACACAAAATTCAGCAATTCTAGCAAGATCAGTCTATGGATGGGTGACCATGTCTTATCACGTTTAAACCCCCACCGTGCCTCGGGGAGCGCGTTAAGCCAAACGGCTCAACCCGGTTGCCATACGAACGTCTGTGGCAATAGTTATGGGTACTTGGAGCCCTAAAAAGTCCGTAAGTCTTTCTACAGAACTTAGATATCGCCTTTTTTTTTCTTTTTCTTCTTTTTGTTGACGGAGTGGAAAATCCCTTCGGACCTTCCGGCCTCAGGTCCAAGGCCCTACTCTGGGAGGACCCGAAACATGTTATTTCAGCCCCCCCCCCCCTGAACGACGCCGCACCTAGCAAAGCTCTATAGTCCAATACGATTCAGGTACTCACCGAAGCAGCCGTGCCCAGTGAGTACCTGCGTCAGTCGGTAGGTGACGCGGCCTCCCTCTCTACCTACCCAAGCTACGAGGCTAGGTAGAGATCCAGATCCTCGGAGATTCAGCGGCTGTCCAGGTTGAGGCCGAGGTATTTAATGTGCCGGCCGACCTCGACCTCAGTTGCCCCCACTCTAATGAGCGAGCGGGTAGGAACTGCACCTCTGCGTTACCACAAGGCTTCCGTCTAATAAGGTGCAACCCTTAGACCGCTGATCTGTGGACGACACAAGCCACCCCTAATTCGTCGAGCTCCAGGACCTCCTGGAAGTCATACCCTCCAGCCAGTACCAGAGTGTCGTCCGCATAGCAGACGAAACTCATTCCTGGGGGAAGACTGGTCCTCAGTACCTAATCATACGTTCCACAGAAGGGGTCCTAAGACCGACCCTTTTGGAACCCTACAACTGATATCCCTTCAGCATTCCTCGCCATCCCGACCCATATACGATATGATCCTGTCGCGAAGATAAATCCCAATGATGTCCCGCAACCGACAACAGGCTTTCTACAGAACTTAGATATCGCCTAGGACTTGGGTTGAGGAGGTCTGATGGCAATCGCTCCGCATAAATAATTGAATTTCAGACGTATCGTAGTAGGCTTAAAGTCGACCCCAACTTAGTTTTGGTAAAAGGATCAGAGGCAGAATATTTGCTAGACAGAGGTATGAGTCAAAATAGGGTTTTACAAGTATCTTGCGCGATAACAGAGCGAACATAAACACTTGAAAACTACGGGTGTTTACGTAGACAGGCTGTTATCATGATATTAAAGAGACTGTTTATAATGTGAGTCTAACTACCTAATCTACCTTTTAATCAGGTTTTATAAGACATGTAGAAACTCGATTAAAAAGCAGATTTAAAAATATAACGTTATCTATATATTATTACGTGAACAAATTTAATTCAAAATTTAATAACATAATAATAAAAACTAGAGATCACATACGGTTGTCTGATCCCAAACAAGGCTGAAACTATAAATGGTAACTGGACTGCTGATAAACATACGGTGACGGACATACGGTGACATGGTGACGGATTAAGAATACAGAGTGTCACCACCCCTATTCATCCCGTGGGTGTCGTAAGAGCCGACCGAGGGAGCAAACTACGCAGGACAACAACACTGCAGAGAGAAGGAAAACTTGAAACAAACCCTATACCAACCCGTCTGGCCAGCGTGGTATAGTAGGCCAAAACCTCCTTTCTAAGGGGAGGCCTATGTCCAGCAGTGGACTATTAAAGGCTGTTGATGATATATACATATTATATAGATTTACTACATCCAGACAACAAACGATCGTGCTCATCACACAATATTTGTCCTAGGTAGGAATCGAACCCTTTCTGTCTCAGCAGTCCGGATCACAGAGAACTAGATCAGCAGGCCCTACAACTAAACACACTATTATGCAAGTAGATTATAATTTTAATTTTTTATTTAACCATTAAACATTAAAATTATTTTTAACTTACCTTCGGTAAACTCAGCATAGGCACCCTCTGAAAGATATGGCAGCCGTACTGCAGAACGGGGAGATACGTCTCGAATACTTGATACAGCTTCTCAGAGAGGCGACGCTGGTCCTCCATCTGCCCAGCGAGGACTTGGAGGTCTCCGTGGTAGACTTTGATCATGGAGGTGAGAAGGTTAGCACGGTTCTTAAGAACCCAGTCTGGGATGTTTCTATCACTGCCAATTGCCTAGTACAGAGAATTCAATTTTTTTACAGTGATTACAGTTACAGTGATTGCAGTTACAGTGATTTATTTTTCTTTGGTTAGTCTGAGGTATATTATTCTTAGCCTATTTCAGGTGCAAGTAACTATAGAATTGAGATAAAAGTTCAAGACGCTTAATGCAAAGAAAGCACCGATGCAAGGAACTCTTTTAAAGAGTTCGATAAGAGTTACTACTTTAATTCAGATATTACTAAGTATGCTAAGGTTGACTGGTAGATAATGCTATGTGGCTTTAAGTCCACATATGCAATTTAAATGAAGGAGGTTTAAAAAATGGCACTATGTCCAAAATAAGTCATTAGCAGGTAGCCAGGAAAGCTGGTAGGAAACTTAGCTGTTAATTCGACACATGTTTACTACAAAGCGATTTTTTTTATCAATTTAATATTATTTGTCATTTAAGAACCGCTTAACTATTTATGAATATAATTTCTAACCGACTTCAATAAAGTAGGAGGTTCTCAATTCGTCGGAATCTTTGTTTTTATGTATGATCACCGATTACTCGCCTGAACCGATTTGGAAAATTCTTTTTTTATTTCAAAGGCAAGTCGTCGGCAAGGTAAAGGACTGTCGCAAAGCTACAATTTTAATGTTTTAATTTACATATGATTAGGAAAAAAATTAGTTGACGTTCTATGTTAATTTACATTCATTAACATTAATTATTATCTTTCATAACATTTTGGTATTTATGTATAACATACAAGTTTTCTTACTTTGGTAGAGACAAGTTCGTCTATGCGTAATTATTTTTATCAATTTTCAGTATTTTCCTTTGGCGAAGTATTGCTTACCAACACATATCTGCCGTACTCTCTAAGTATGAACTTCCCGCTTTGCAGAGTGATCGCGACTGGCCGCGAGAAGAGACTCTTAATGCAGTGAGCCACACCAACAACCTGCCGAAATTTAATAAGTACACATCAAAAAGCTCTAAGTATGTAACATAGCCCTGGCTTTTTTTAATGAACACAAACAGTCTATTGTAATTTAAAACTATTTTATAATTAACTACTTATAAAAGACAACAATACCTACATGAACATATATAATTTAAGATTACTTGAGTGAGTTTACTTTCAAACAAAAACTAAATCATAACTGGTCCATCTGTTTGACATTTATACAGTCGAAAAACACAACTCTCTTTCTGGCACTCGGGTAAAAATAACGATATCTTGGGATATTTTTTTTAAAACTCCCGGATTAGGGATATGTCCCGTGTCATGGGGAACTTTACAAACATACGTGATACGGACACAAAGAACACCCAAACTAAGAACAACAATTTGTGGATAACACAAGGTGTCGTCCCATGTGGGGATCGAACCCACAACACTCATCGTAGTAGAAAGCGGCGCGACGACCGCTTAAACCACTACGCCATCCGTGCAGGCAAATGATATGTTACACGTTGCCTGACATTGCTATGTCCTAGCTAAACAGAGTATGTACCAATAATTCGAGCATAAAACACCAAAACAATCTATCCATACGTACACAAAAAATACGAAGACAAATAGAGACAGTCACGTACTTAAATATTTGTACTTAGCGGACATGGAACCCCCCACCCCAGCGAGGCACTTGAATTAACGACCACCGCGCCGTAGAGATCGTCATATAATTACGCTGTATTATTAATATGCACGCGTCTCGTCAGCGGAGAGAGTTAAGGACTTTTACAGTTCAAATTAAGACAGTGTTTTGTTTGCAACCAGATGCCCCAGTAGACATGGTAATTACTCGTATTGCTACACTTAAATCATAATTATATGATGAAATTATATTTTTTAGTCATTACGATTTCACTAGTGATTGTGATTTTGGGACAGCGCGTATAACAGCACTTCAGTTCCATGGAACTACTGGGAGAAAAAACAGGGATCAGACGGCAAATTCGATTCCAACATCACACCATCTTCCTTCCATCAACTTTTCGCCATCGTTCCACAAGGCAAAATTTTCATCCCCATCACCTGGATTGTTGGCGCTCCATTATTGTGCGCTTTTCGAGACACTTTTTGACTCGCATAACCAATCTGTGGAACGGACTATCGTCTGCGGTATTCCTGGACCTATACGACCTTCAAACCTTCAAGAAAAGAGCGTACTCCTTCCTAAAAGGCCGGCAACGGTCACTTTCCATCAGGTGAACCGTCTGCTCATCTGCCCCCTCCAACATAAAAAAAAATCAACACGTCACTTCATATGGGGAGTCTATGTCTCTCGACTGAGAATAGTAACTAAGTATTTGATATATGCACGAGGTGGACCCTGACATTTTGAAATTAGTTTAAGATGGAGAGACTAGCCTACGGCAAGGCTTGACGGCCTCGACATCTAGATCTGTACTGTCCCTGATGTACCTAGTACATCAACAAATCCTTTAAAATTCGTGTGTGGTAAATGTACTATGTGCCGCTCTCCCCAGAATTTGGTAGTGGAGGGGGAAAGAGGGGGGGGGGGACTTTATCGTTCTTTAACATCGCTCACTCGGTGAAACAGAAAAGAGGAATTTTTTTACACATCGCTTTTCTGCGAGACCAACATAATAACATAATGGGACTGTAAAGTAAAGCGAGCTGGGGGTCTAGTGCGAGGTTATTTTACATCAACTCGATTGAACTCTTCATCAATTGTAACGGTAGAGTTGGTGTAAAATAAACGCCTAGAGGGGGACTGGTTTTTCGCCTGGGATAGGGCCTGATTAGGCATGGTATCAATTCGGGGAGGATCTGAAATAACATGGTCCGGGACCTCCCACCTGAGACCGGCCGTCAGGGTAGTTTATAGTGGAATCACCACATACTCCTAGCTCCTGTGTCCCCGAGAAGCAGAAGATCCGAAGGAATTTTCCAACCCATTAACAAAAAAAAAGACGTAGGTACTATGCTTTTTTAGGCATTCATTTGTCTTCTACTTAGCATTTCGTGCTATAGTTAATTCGTGATAAATTTTCTCGTTTTATATTTGCTCGTGTTATAAATTTCGAATAATTTCAAAATTATTTATCGCATATGGACGTAGCTCTCCTTCTTGCGTAGAAAATGTATTATATTATTATATAAAGATATGTCAGTTTTGTCCAGTATCGTAACGTCTATGAATGGATGCACATGGTCATTAAAAAAATATAGATAACATTATGTTTCTAACCACGCATTTTAAAGTTTCAGCAATTATCAAAAAGAAAATATAGAAGATATAATAGGGCTAGCACACGCCGCGTGTATATTCCAACGCAGTCACGTTACACTTGCTGTCAGCCCCAATCTTAAATTAATTATTATTCAAGGTAACCAAATAAAACTTATATTAGGTAACCTGTGTTGCATGCAAATTATATGATTACTTAATACACTGATTTTGGCTATTTCTTACAATTGCATTTTTATATAATCACAACTAATAGGTTATACTTTAATACCGTATACGAGCGTGCACCTCTTCGCCGATTATTGCAACTCACATGTTACGAGCTTAGATATTTTCGCTCTCACTCACTCTAAATTTAAAAAAATTGCCACTGAAATTCTTGCTGATCTATGATAACATTCTCAGTTAACTACCTACCTATCTTATATTATTACATATAATTCACCGATTGTGTATAGTGCGCGTCCGTTACCTTTTCTACTTCATCTATAAACTCGTAGACAATAGTGTGGGTTATACGTTTTAAATATGTAAATGCTAAATCAATAATTGTAAAGACTACATTGTATAACTGTTTTTTGTCCCTAATAAATAAAATAAAAATAAAATACCTGTATAATATATATGCGGCTAAATAGTTCGTAATAGACGGAATTTTTGGCTTCGTTTAACCGGTTTTAGAGCCTCTATTATGAGTAAACAGACTGCTGATTAATATACTTAATATTGACTTATTTTTTAGTCTTTATTGCTAACTGATACAAAAACAATTTAAACATATAAATGCTAATTATACTTGATCTGTTTATTGTCGGTGTGTTTTAGGATACAAGTGCTTATTTCAATCTTATCTTAATTTAGCCATTCTTTGCTGCAATGTTCCTACAACTTTTAATGTTAAAAAGAATGAAGAAATTAAAAAAATATATATTGACCACCATTTTCGTTGACATCGTCTTTTTTGAAACGAAGTTCCTTATCGCGCGTTAAACGCTCCGAGTAGATGGGAGCGAGACCGAGAAATGTGTAACAAGACTTTTTTCCGACACTGCTACTCGTATACTTCGTTCCGACTGTTTTTTTATTATTTTGAATTTGGAATTATCGTATTTATAATACATACGATCAACATCACAACTAAGCATCATGCTCATTTGAACAATACTTTATCCTTAGTAGGAATCCATCCCACAACCTTTGGCTCAATCAATCAATTTCATAACTACTAGATCAACAATTATAATTCCACACCTTGTCCTCACCCATACAATTAAAAAAAAAACTTAGTTCATAAATACTTTTAGTAAATAGTAAGTCTTACTTGTCCAGCAAGTGCATGCCTCTGTGTATCCGACACCCATCCAGGATGGAAGTAGAGGACTGCATCAATTGGATCGTCTTCTTCAGATGTGCAGCACAGTGTGTCATAGACAAACACTATCATCATCTCCCTGTTGGTAAATGGGATCATTACATTGCAGTAATAAAATGTAGCCATCTAATAACAATAATAAATTTATTCTCAAAACCATTTAGATGTTTCTAGAACCGTAAATATACCCTAAATAAATAAACTCAGAAAGGTTTGGCAATTTTTATTGTCATATAATAAGTAAATGATGAATAAAATGATATCAAGTGTTAACTACATACATCTGAATATAGCTAAGGGGTCCACCATCGAAGGGGTCATTATGCAAAGGCATATTATACACTCACATTATGCGAATTAAAATTTAGTACCACTCATAATATAGAGGCACGCCTTTAACCAGGTACCCCTTCCAGGAAAACTAATAGAAACAGTCTTAGCAATATACCCATTGATAAAATTAAAATGCAAATCAGTCGTTGTAAATTACTTGAAGAGTTGAGTTATGATCTTACAGAAAAACTTCTTCAGTAAGTGAAGTAAACGTTCATTTCTACCCTCAATGCTTTGATTTTCGGTCTGTGTTTCTCTCGTGTGCTTGCTAAGGAGACTAAGGTATTTATTAAGTTACGAATATGTCTTATGTTTATAGTTTTCATCTTACTTGATATTATTATAACTTTATAATAATTTTATTAGTACTTATGTTTGGTAATTGTAATGTATAAAATGAACTTTTTTTGGCATTTTATTGTTATCACAATCAGTATTGTATTGTAATGTTAATTGTATTCATGGGGTGGGGACTTGGTGATCTGTATTACAGGCATATCTATGCCTCTCTCAGTCACCATCTCCTCACATGTTAACACAGAGGTAAATGTTCTACGTATATGTATACCTACCTACTAGTAACTTAGAAAATCACATATTAAAAATCCAAAATTGTAAACATTGCGACGATGAATAAACTTATTATTATTATTCTCTTTACTACATCATATATACAAATTGATTACATTTGTAAATATATTACGAAAAAATAAAAAAAAATCATTTAAAAATATAGAAAATAGTAAACCATGAACATCAGGTACAGGGACCAAGACACCAATGGTTAGGACTCCAAAGAAAGAAACCTCCTTACTATGCGAGCCATGTCAAGGAGAACAATGAATGTGTCTGTTTTGAACAATCTTATTATTATAGAGAACATTATCAAAGAAAAGTAGGCAAAATGTGCTTACAGGCAATCACTTATGCTTACTTGTGCATTGATCAGTGTGAATATATGTGTGTATTAATGTACATTCACATCAAAAACATTGCCTATCTAAATATATTTAAGCAGTTTGCTGCATTAATTTTTAAAATATCAATAAAAGATTATTACTATTCTTAAATTAAATAGTCTACAATGGAACATTAATATTTATTCTCATAAAAAGTTAAACTTTTAACCATAGATCAGCCTACAGATGATTTTAAACTTAAAACATCAATAATATTTTATTTGTATTTAAAAGGGACAACAAAACAATAAATTGTGTTGTTTATAATTAGATAAAGTCATGTTTCTTTCTGAGAAAAGATTAAATTACTGGCATAAATGTTTTATATTTTAAATGTAAATAAAATAAAACGATACTAGTCATCTTATTAGAGATGACCACACGTTTATATAAGTTGTCTTTTTATAAATTATTAGTGGAAAGAAGTGATTTGGTTTTTCTAATTAGAAACCTTTTAACATCGACTTTAATTCTTATATTTATATCTTAGAATTTGCACGTGCGTATCAAAATGTTTGATTAGAGGTGTTTAATCAACCGCAACAGTCGTAGGTCACAGCTTGTATCGAATTACATTTCAATAATCCACTTAAAATCTTATACATTTATTTTTCGACTCACTTTGCCATTTTGAACAGTGTTCTCGTCTCACTTCACAATGAAAAGTATATTTTACAACATTTCAGACGCGACGATTTAAAACTGTACAATCAAATGTTAATAAATGTCTATTTCTCGTTTATTTTCATATTTTTTATGCAAATTAATGAACAGTCGTCTGTACACCGCGATATCTCATTTGACACTTCTTTTATTAGTGTTGCTATCTTTTTGGTTTCTTTTTGTAAATTTAACTACGAGATAGTAAGACATTAAGAAATCAATGTTGTAATTTTGTGCAATTAGTCTGTCTTTTCTTCTTAGATATATTTTAATATTATTGAATAGTAACTTACTTTCTAGTTGATATCAAAAATTAAAGGAATGTTGTCATGGATTTCTAATAGATGGCATGAAGTGCCACATACCACTGTTAAAAGAAAAAAAATACAAGATCAATACCTCACTATTTTTTCCTACTATCATTTTATTTCGACTATATTTAGTAGGATTTTACCATATTATGTACACCAACAACATAGGCACATAGTTATCAAATGGTTTTGCAATCTCCTGAGCACCAGGGTACCAAGGTACTGAAAATCTACTGGGAATTTTTATTGAAAATCTTTCGATTCAATTTCATGCTTGCTTTTAATTGACTTAATTATGACAGGCAAAAATTATGCCAAGCCTACAAATCTAAACATCAGCTCCGGATCTATGGGCAAACCGGGGCGGGTGCCTGGCGACAGTTTCAGGGGGCGCCAAAATCAAATAATACGGTTTAAAATAAAAAATAATGCAAATTTATTTTAGGATTCTTATAAGTATCAAGTATTTTTAAAATATTTCAAACGCTGCCCCGGTTGAAAAATTCGTAGATCCGGGGCTGCTAAACATTAAGGCCGTCTTGCAGCGCGGTGTGTAGGTTATTTCACCCCCCGCTAACGTATCGTATACGAAGTCAGCTGCGCGTGACTCAAACTTACATCCAGATATTGTGCCACAGTGCAGCGTAATGCAATAGGTTAGAAAAGTATACCGTGTTTGAGATATTTAATTCTAATTGTTTTTTTCAAGTGGGGTTTTATTAATATCGTAACGTCTTCATCATCATCATCATCAACAGCCCTTAATAGTCCACTGCTGGATATGGGCCTCTCCTTAGAAAAGAGGTTTTGGCCTACTATACCACGCTGGCCAGACGGGTTGGTATAGGGTTTGTGTCAAGTTTTCATTCTCTTTGCAGTGTTGTTGTCCTGCGTAGTTTGCTGCCTTAGTCGGCTCTTAAGACTTAACGTCTTACGATTCGTTATTTGAAATAAATTACCTTGTGAAACTGATCTGATCTTCTAGAATCTTAATAAAAGATAATAATTAAGTCGGAGGTTTTATTATAAACCAGTGCACTAATTATGTCAAAGTCTACTCAAGGGACGCGTTCCCGTTCACACAGAACAGTAAGCATTAGTTAGCATCCAACTCATCAGCAAGGCACATTATATCCGCTCCAGCGTGATCTCACCACTGGCTCCAATTCAGGTTGAACACACATCTTCAGAGGGCTTTTAAATTCACCCGCACACTGAAAAAGCTCAATGTTTGAATTGAAAATAAAGTCTTTCAGTGACACAGGAAATTTACACGATATTAAGTTTGTTGTTAGTCCACTATTTTAATGCCAATAATGTACCCAGCCTTAATAATGCCTTTTTATTTTATTATAAATTGTCCAGTGTGATGTAGTAGATGTAAGATAAACCTATTTCTTAGTGTTCCATGGATTCACCGTGCGGGTGCCGGGTTCATTGCGCGATAGATGGGGGCAACACACGCGACTTCGACAGTGCCTGGGAATTAGGTTTAGAGTAGGTTTAAGGAGTACTCAGAGCTCACCGCTACTGTCTGCTGTGTTATCCCTCTACCTAACCATATTTGATACGAGCCTAGCAATGCCGCTTTGGACATTCGTTCAAGACAATCCAAGGTCTGTAAGTAGGTTATTGTGAATACGAATTAAGAATACGAAGTGTCTTTTTGGTATTTTGTTGGTTAAGTCTAATTACTTGGGGAAACCACTTAAATACAAAGCGAAGTTGGGGAAATTGCTTGACTTGGAGAGTAAGCTCGTGAATGCGTGACGAAAGCATTACGAAAAGTGTGACCTGGCGAAGCGAACGGAAGTTGAGAGTGAGATATAAGTTATTGAAGGTAGAAAGAGAGAGAGTTACGTTTCTTTAATTTTCTTTCTCTCTTTCTCTGATAGCCAAGAAGTGTTACTTCAATCGTGTGGTCTAAAGCAAGTTCTTTTAAAATATTTTGCTTTATGAAATGTCGCATATTGAATGTTTTCTTGTTCACTGAAAATAGTGTTATTGTTTAGTTTTCACTCGACAAAACTTAAAAATCTGTTGGTTACATAAATATATATATATATATATATATTGTATACACATTATTTATTGTATAGACATTAATTACCATTTTTCAATCAACAATTTTCGTTTCAATTTCAAACCTTCAACAAGGCTCAGCGAGCTCTGACAGGCGAACGTCGGCGCCGTAAGCAAACCCAAAAACTGTATTCGGTTTCTTTTTTTATAAGTACAACTATTTGAAAATATATCTCTGCAAATCGCTAAAAAAGAATAAGTTCTCTTTTTTGGTAGGTAAAACTTTTACATGAATCCTTTTGCATTATATACCAAGCTCTATTTGAAGTCGTGAGTTAGTTCCATAAATCATGTTTATATCTCTGCGGATCTTTAGATTATAATATGTTTATTTTAATAAAATATATATTTTCATGCACAAAATAAATGCATATTAGTGTATTTATTTCTCTTCAAAAAAGTGCAAAATCGCTTCAACCTCTCCTTAAAAGCTCGACTCATATAAAAGAACATTCCACATTCTTGGTAATTATAAATGTAAAAATACTTACATGATATCTAGATATTAATAGCATTACGAACCAGTGTATTCTTAGTTCAATCATTTGTTTTTTAGAATAACATGGTCACATCATATGAAAGCAGGTATAACAGGAAAAAAACTCGTAAAAGTATTAAAAGATTATGAATGGAAGAAATCTTGCAAGCATCTTTAGGGTTGTTTAGTCTGTTTGTTCATCCGTACGTCCGCAACTTAGAAGCTAAACATGTTTTAGTAAATATCACGAACTAATAAGGCTTAGTTAGTACTAGGGAAATTAACTCTGATAAATAATTATCGTTTGCCAAGCATACCTCTAAAGGTATGCTTGGCAAACGGGTAATAATATAGCGAGGAAACTAAATTTGCGCATGGCAGACACGCAAATGGCTTTTTTTAAATAAACAACAATTCTTCGGTAAATCATTTTTTCAAGATCATATTTTTTTTATATGATTGAAAATCGAAACGGTGGGCGAAGCACAATAAATTACCATTAATAATGTTTTTTGGTGAAAAAATATTGTAATTTGAGAAAGTTAGACTAGGCTGGGTTGGAAAAGTTAGTAGACTGGGTTCACATGCCGTTTATAAATGAAACTTAATGACATTGAAGAAGATTCGAATGAAACGATTATTAATGCAAGACTTATAATAAACAATTGCATTCTGTTAAGTTTTTAGTGACGTATTTTAATATTCTCATAAAAGCATGATTATTTAGTATGCTGGATATGGCAACATCCAGTTCCGTTTGAAGAGTTTTGTTTGGTGTGCCGCAGCGTATCCGGCGTCAGAAAACTTACAACAAAGAATTTTAATTCAAGAAATTTTCCATTATTATATTAATTTATGTACAGATTTTGATAAATTTCATTTTTACTACTTTTTATATTAATTGAATTGTATGTGTATTAAGATATTTAATACGTTGTTATGAAAGTAGTGCGGACGTTTTGTTAAACTCAACAGGGTAAAATCTACTTAATTGAACTTTATAAAAGTGATGGACATCAGTTGGATAATTGGCACTCCACTACTATGCGCTTATTAACCAATCTGTGAAAAGTGGTGAAGTAGGTGATGGTTTTCCACAGACACAGTAACAATACGTAGTGTTCCGGACCATCCCTATTCATTCAAACTCGAAACAAACCCAATACCAACCCGTCTGGCCAGCGTCGTATAGTAGACCAAAACCTCTTTTCTAAGGAGAGGCATATGGAGATATGCCTTTCCTTTATCAGCAGTCTAGTTACCATAGTACAGGCTCTGACTCGTCGTGTAGGACGTGTGAGGTTATTATTCTTATTACATACATCATCATCATCAACAACCTTTGTTAGTCCACTGCTCTCCAGCCGACTATATCATCCATAACTAGTCAGAGCCTGTACTATGGTAACTAGACTGCTGATAATTATGATAATTAATATATCTAAATACATACATATAATAGATAAATTACGAATCACTAACCACTTGACGAACAATAAACATAGATACATAGGGCAGAGTAACCAATATTGAACTGGCACTTAAATTGGATCACTTCTGTATTTCTACCAAAATGGCACCCTTTCTTAAAACTAGCAACACAAAAAGGATCGCAGAAATACAGAAGTAGTCCAATTTATTTTAATTGGTTACTCTCCCCTATACAATATAATAATGTTTAAACTACAACACTATTTATTAAAGCTGCTACTCTACTATTTATTTCTTATTATTAAAGCTCTCAATGCCATAAGAATGGTGATCCATCCATAGACTGACCTGGGTACGATTGCTTTACTTTGCAATATGCTTACCTAATCGGTTACCAGTTAGCCACAAGCCCCGAGGTTACTAAAATAGCAAAAGTGGCAAATATTAATGTTTTACACTTTTGTAAATTTTAAAAAGTATCATGAACAAAGCTATATTATATTCAAAGCGATACTACATCATCATGATGACTTACAAGTCTAAATTTTCAGCCTTAAGGGTGAACTCAGCTTAAAAACAGAACGTAAAATCTTTCAAATAAACAAGAATTTTTCAAAGCAGTTCTTAAGTGACGGTGTTCTATTTACGACTTCCTCCTATAAAA